GTTTCCTCCAAACTGAACTTGTTTACAGACTCAGAGTGGGAAAAAAGAAACGGTGAAAATGTCCAAATAGAAACAAAAAAACTGGATCTAGATGCTGCTTCTGTTTCCGTTAACGTCTGGTGGTTCATCAGGAGTTGGATTTCTGAAGCTTTGTGTCCTCTCCAATAATCCAGCTCTATGTCCACGTTCTAACCCTACGGTGGCCCTGAAGGTCAACTGAAAAAAAAAATTCACTGAACACAAAAATCTTCAATTAAACAAAAGTATGAGAGGTGCTGACGGGAGTCCAGCTGTCCCATCCAATAAAACAAACATGAACCAAAAATGTTCATTAGAAAAAAGTGATTTATCGCCTTTGAAACTCAGCCATTAATCACGTTTTTCTGATCAATCGTTTGACTCCCCAGCATGTTATGTTTGTGTTTCATGACGTCATGGATAAAAAATTGCAATTGTAGGTCCCAGATCTTCTCGGGGTCGTGCCGCTGCTGATGATGTACACGATATGATCGACTGTACGTTTGTATTATGATGTTGTGATTGGCTGTTTGTTGGAGAGTTTACAGATCTTTGGACAGATATGTCTGAACGACAAACGCTCTGAATCTACTGAGAATTTTTACCAGGAAATACAAGAGCAGACAAAAACTGGTTTCAACTGTCACAACAAGAAGAGCACATGGTGCAGACTACCTCTGATGTTAGACGAGTGAAACATGTTACACGAGGCTTACTGTGTGTCATTACAAACATTGAAGAGTGAAATGTAAATATGTTCAGTTTGGTGTGTTTGACTTCTTCTTTCATGAGGAGACGTCGAGCTCTCTCCCTCCGACTCTCTGACAGCCAATCACAGCGTGCTACATCATCATATAAACACAGGTGAAGGACCCCGAGCACATGTGATACCTTCACTGTCACAAAGCAGTGAAGCTGCCGGTCTACAGCTGCAACTCCAAATCTTTATGCACCCACTGGTACCCCATACAGCGCAATATATACCTCTTAAAGGCAGGGTTGGTAATTTCTCCAGACTCAAAGCATGAGCTGAGGTCCACTTCTGGACCAGTGGCGCTCGTTTAGTAAGTGAGGGGGCGTGGCTTTAGAGGGAGTATAGTGGGGAGGGGGTGGGTGCAGACGAAGCACTGAGGGAATGCTACTTTCAAAATCATGCTATTTTAAGAAAATTAGCAACCCCGCCTTCAAGAGTAAAACTGAACAGTTCACTCTTCTACATTTGCGCTGATGTTGACTTTAAGATGATGAAGATAAAAACAACATGCTGATTGAACTCCTCACATCCCTGGAATTTAAATCTGTGTGATAAATATCAGGATCCATCGATCGGCTATTTATTATTCCAGAGGTCATTCGTTACAACATCCTAAACCCCCCGGGGGAACTCTGATGGTTTTCTTGATTTAACCCTCAAACACTTCATTTAATAACAAAGTCCTTCACCCGCTAACTTTCTAACAAGGCCTCGCTCTTCTCCTGTCCGAGCACACTCGGCCCCGCTTTGTGAATATTGGATTCATGGCACTTTAAAGGCCGCACGTCAAATCAGGCGGCTTTAATTAGCACAGTTTATAAGACGAAGGTGCTGATCAATGTGACAGCGTGCAGCTCGCTCTCACAGCATGCTAACAGGAGCAGCAGAAGGTTAGACATCCTGCTAATGCCTAGCTGTCTCTCCATGTCCTCTGGTGATTGGACGAGCTCGCACGTCGTGTTCCTCTGCAGGGACGCCTCAGCCTCGATCATCTCTCTTCTCTATTATGCATGTGCTTGTTTGCAGTTTGTTCGATGCAGACGTGTTCTTATAATGAATTTAGAGACTGACCTGAGCAGAGTCTCTGCTGTTCAGCTGCAGGAGGGAGGATGTCTGACAAGTCCGTCCTCAGAGTCCAAACTCAGCGCTCACAGACGGGCGTTCGTCCTGCAGCGGTGACGATAACAAGCAAGTCATCTCATGAAGAATAGAAGAACCACAGACAGTGAGAGACGTGTGAGGTCATTGTAAAGATGCCGTGCTCACTGCTACTACATGTAAATACAGTAGACAGGGTTTGACTTCATTTCCAACCCGATACATTCTTCTGCTGATCTGGGGTCAGGTCTTGGCGGCAGGAACAAGTTGTCCCAGACGTTCCTCTCCCCAGCTCTCCCAGGTCAGGAGGGATATTGAGGGAGCTCTGGGTGCACCAAGGTGACTCCTCTCCTCCCAGGTGGGCGTGTCTGGAAAAAACCTCCAAAGGAACACCTCCAGGAGGATCCTAATCAGCAGCCTGAATCACCTCAACTTTGATGCCAAGGAGCAGCGACTACTCCGAGCTCCGCCAGGAAATCTGACCTCTCAACTGATCTCTAAGTCTGAGCACAGACACTCTGCAGAGGAAACTCATTTGGGCCACTTGAATCCTCAATCTTAGCTTCTGTTTTACAGTTTAGCGTCCGTTTAGAGGTCCGTCAGTGTCCGTTTTGCATCTTTTTAGATCTCAGTTTATCGTCTGCTGGAAGTTTCTCTGAAGCAAGCAGCATCCAATGAAAGAGTGATATCCAAAAATGGGGGCGTGTCCTCCGTGAAACTACTTCTGTGAAGTCTGCTTTCGCTCATCGCTGCTCAGATTTCACTGCTCTCGCCTCGATCCTTTCTCCTCCGAAGGTCCAGAACTTCAAGCGAGGAGAAGTTATTTAATGAGACGCAGCCATAGACTTTGATTTCTTCCTGCAACCAGTAGGGTTGCCTCCTGCTGGACATGAGAGAGAAGTTTAAAGTTTAAAGCACGGCTGCATGTGGTCGACTATAAACTCCAAGAGAGCCATTGATCCAGTTCTTAAATAAAGTCTACTGGTTGAGTGAAATATAAGAAAACAAATTAAGTAGAAATGAACCTCCTTCAACAGACGTGCTAAATGCTGCTAACTTTCCCGAGGCTTTCATGTGAACGTCTGTGTGTCTGTCTGTTGTTTCCAGGGAGACGACTGCTCCATCAGCTGTCCTGCAGGTCTGTTCGGGACAAACTGCACCTCCTCCTGCTCCTGCCACAACGAGATGTCCTGCTCGCACGTCGACGGCTCCTGCGTCTGCAAAGAAGGTTTGTTTCAGCTCCGTCTTCCTCCATTTTCTCCGTCACACATCGTTCGTTTGGGGCGACAGGGGCGTGTCCAGAGGCGTTACCAGTGTCGGCATGGGAAATCTGATTGGACACCCCAAAAACCAAATCTGTGGTTGGCTATTTGTCTAATCGGAGGTTGTCTTTCCTTAAAAATGTCAAAGCAAATACTCGTGCACACTGTCTAACTGGAAGTGGACTCATTTGCCAATAAATGTTTTTATTCACGAGAGACAGCGTTCAAGTGTTTGCACGTAATTTGTTTACGTACTACTTACGTAGTCTCTAAAGAATCAAACTAAGAAGATTTATATGTTTCCAAGTTATCTCACTTACAAGAACATGTCACCCCTGTGTAAGTCAGCGCCCCTAGTGGGCCACCCACTCAAGAAATTCAGGACACGCCTCCTTTGTGATGATTCATGGATTTCAGAAAGGGTTACTGACGCATGGCGGATTGCAGCTCCTCCCCTTGTGTATAAAAGCGGTTTTAGTCGAGGACTAGAGAGAAGAAGAAGAACATACCCACTGATTATTTGGATTTTAGTAAGAGTTTTTAGCTCACGCTCATTCTGTGTCAGCTTACATGCAACGTGAAGCTACGAGCTAACTAAAGAGTGCTAACATTAGCATGCTAACACAACAATGCAGGACACAGGTGATTGCAGCTTGAGATGAGGACAAATTTGTTCGCCGCTTGTGCTTGATTCCTTCATGCGAATGTGAGTGGAGGGGTGTTGGAGGTGTGTCTCTGGAGGAGAGTGGAGGCTTCAGTATGGAGGAGGTGTGGCCAAACAGCAGTTTGTTTTTGTGAAACTTTACACCTCTTAGTCATTCATACTCCAAACCAAGGTAACATAGAGCACAGGTTTAAAAAGAAACAACTCTTTCCTTCAGGTGTAACGGCTGCAGAGTGACTTTTAAATATCGTTCCCAACTGTCCTTCTTTCATCTGGTGGAATAAGTTGTGGTAGTTTAGAGTTCAGAGTTTCCTGGTGTGTTTGACTTTCAAATAGAAGTTTTAGAAGGTAATTTCAGCCCAAAGGATGGAGGTGACGTGACTGCAGCGAGCTGTTATCAACGAGCCAAACTGCAGAAAGCAACCTGTAAATTACAAATAATCACAACAGTTCCACAGGAAACCTGCCTCCTCACTCTGATCTGTCTGCTTTCACTCTGAGACTTTCTTTGTGTGTCGTGTATACCAGCAGCAGAAAATCGCTTTAACTCAGATCCTCCTCTCTCTCCTGTGTGGAGTTTCTTTTTCTTTTCTGGAGGAGGAACTCGTCTCGGCCTCTTCGGCGGTTTCTAATTTTTTTTACTAATCGTGTTCGGCTTCGTCGTGAGTCCTCAAAACGTCTCTCTTTTACACTTTCCTCTTCTCGTCATTGGAGGAAAAACTGCTATTTAAATCCTGACTGTTGCTCAATGTAAACCTGCATCACTCTTAAAACATCTCCTCATCTTCAGAGCTGAAACAACGAGCCAATGAATCAACAGGAAAACAATCTGTCTTTGCCCTGATTATCATCATTACTGATGATATTTATTACTGAGAAGAGTGAATACTGATTGGTTGTTTTGGCTGTCAAACGATTCCTTTTTTAATGGCAGACTTTCCGTAGCTAATCATGATTAATCACATTTTTGATCACATGTTTAAAAACAGAAAGGAGTTAAGATGGTTCAGGCATCTGATCAGGATCCTCCAGGACGCCTCCCTTTGGAGGCACACCCAACTGGGAGGAGACCCCGGGGTAGACCCAGAGTTCTCTGGAGGGATTATATATCCCGTCTAGTCTAGGGAACGCCTCAGAATCCCCCAGGAGGAGCTGGAAAACGTTGCTGGGGAGAGGGAAGTCTGGGTGGACTTACTGCGCCTGCTGCCAACGCGACTGAGAGCTGAGAGTACTTTACTTCCTGTGTGCTTTATTTTGAAATAAAGTAAGGCCCTTCCTGTAGATGGAAGATTAGGACAGGAAGTTAAGCACAGAAACAGGAAGTGGTTAGGGAATGGTAACAAAGGTCAATGTGTGACGTCATAAGGTGGATGTTACTTTGGACCCTACCCTAACCTGAACCCTATACCCTATATGAGATTAAAAACAATGAATGCATTCATTTGATTTATTTTGTTTTCCTCACAGCCTGAAACTCCTGACCATCCAGAAATGTAAAGTTCCTAACGACGTAACCACCTCCAAACTTGTTTTGTGTTTGGTGTACTGTTCTCGGCTTCCCTTATTATCTCTCAATATCAGCGTCTTTAAATATTTATGCGGCGCTGAACCTGGCGGGGGATGCTGGGTAATTAAAGTGGAAAACTCTTCTGAGGCGGAGGGCTCAAGAGCTTCGGCTCAAGCGCTTCGGCTGAACGACTCCGACTTCACCCTGAAAAAAAACCTTATTAAAACTGAGGAGAGGAAGTTCAGGGTTTATCAAACAGGTGTGTTTCATTTCTACCCGAAGAGGCCAAAGAAAATAAAGTCAGAAGTTTATATCCACAGAGATCGAAGATGACAGGGGAACTTTTCTGTTGACGTGTTGATGTGGACATTCAGCACATGTTTCCCTCTACAAGTTTAAGGCAGTTAGTATTGAACGTATGTGGATACCGTGCAGGAGTTTCAAAATGTGTGCAAATTATAGCCAAGAAATGTTTGGAGACGTTCTTTTCACATCTTAAATCCCTCCTCCGTCTTTTCCCACTCTTCCCCTGACTGTGTAAACGGTCTTAATGATGCAGTAGAAGTATGAAAACTGCTTTTTTCTTGGTCGACTTTCACCAACAAACTTTGGTTTTCACTGCGACGTTTAGCAGGGCAACAAGAGTGACCCAGAACTTCCACCAGATACGTGTGCACAGGTTTCTTTGCACAGAGGGAATCATAAATGAATTCACGGGGGTGTCGGTTCTACAAATCATTTATCAGATGCTTTTATCCAAAGCGACGAACTTTAGGGAGTAAGATCAAGACAAGCGAGGAGAGAGAGGGGAGGAGACGACAGGAAGTGCAAACAAACAGCTTTAAGTCTGATCAGACACACAGGTGCTGACAGGAAGTGACCAGAGGTGCTGACAGGAAGTGACCAGAGGTGCTGACAGGAAGTGACCAGAGGCAGAACACATTCGCTTATCAGGAAAAAATTTTGCAAGACTCAAGTTGTAGTAACCCAGTGTTAAAATTTAAGGGATATGTTAAGTCAAAAAATTAAAGAGGACATATTCTCCCCCTTCTCCACCTTTTCTAACAGTCCCCCTGTGGTCTAAATGAAACATCTGTGCTGTGCTTTGGTCAAAATATAACATGAATCAAGCACCAGAGGAGGTTTGTGACCCTGTATAAACCAGCTCTCTCAGAACGCTCCGTTTTGGTGTGTGTGTCTCTTTAAATGTAATGACCCCCCCCCCTGAGTTTTCCCCGTAGACATCACTCCTCTGTAGCGAGGATAAAAATGGCAAACCTGCGCAAAAGTTTTGTTCTATGCTGGGGGTGGAGTCCATGGGAGGAGATACCAGGGGAGGGGAGGGGATTTTTTATTACCAGAATCACAAACAAAGGACTGGGTGGGTTTATTTCACATTTTGTGGGTCAGTAGACTCTCAGGTTACCCAAATATATGTTCAAAAAACACTGTACAAGTGGATTTCTTAGAATATGTCCCTTTTGAATAAAAGGAGTTACTGCTTCCGAGTTGCACGACGAAAACTTTAACATCCCTGCTCTGACGGTCCGTGTGTCTGTGTCTCTGCAGGATGGCAGGGTGTGGACTGCTCCATCCCGTGCTCCAGTGGGACCTGGGGTCTGAGCTGCAACCAGACGTGTCTCTGCGCCAACGGGGCGGCCTGCGACCCCGTCAACGGGACCTGCACCTGCTCTGCGGGCTGGAGGGACGAGTACTGCGACCTGCCGTGTCCTGTGAGTGTTTCAGGCGTAGAGAGAGAATCTGCAGCTTTGTTATTCTCTGCATTGCTCTCAGATATTTCAGGGTTAACAACCTCTGCTGAATGTTTCTGTTAGGAGGGCTCGTACGGGCTGGACTGCAGAGAGAGGTGTGACTGTATGAACGCTGACGGCTGTGATCCAGTCAGCGGATTCTGCCGCTGCGTCGCCGGATGGACAGGTGAGTGATTCAGACGCTCTGTGACCGTCAGACTTCTGGAAGGTTCCTCAGCTAAAGCAGTTCAAATCATATTCACTCTCTGAACCCTTCAGCGTTCAGCGTCTGATTTCAGCTTCTGGGAACAGACGGGAACAAACACGATCGACATGAGATTTTAATTTGGACGGACAAAAAACGGTCTTAATGTTAACAGCCGTTCATCTGCTGAGTGTCAGATAAACAGTCGATTGACTCACTTCAGCGCTTTGAGGCCGAAAAAGAGATTCATTTTCAAATTAAGAGATTTAAGTTTCTATTGCGCTGTTAAATCCTTTAGCATGGCTAGGTATCCCAGGATGCTTTGAGCATGATTGACATGCGAGTTGCCCCGCCCACACAGTCCTGAGAAACGACCTGTACTAATCTTGTTCGGCTTCGTCGTGAGTCCTCAAAACGTCTCTCTTTTACCCTTTCCTCTTGAAAAAACTGCTTTTCAAATCCTGACTGTTGCTCAATGTAAACCTGCATCACTCTTAAAACATCTCCTCATGTTCAGAGCTGAAACAACGAGCCAATAAATCGACAGGAAAACAATCTGTCTTTGCCCTGATTATCATCATTACTGATGATATTTATTACTGAGAAGAGTGAATACTGATTGGTTGTTTTGGCTGTCAAACGATTCCTTTTTTAATGGCAGACTTTCCGTAGCTAATCATGATTAATCACATTTTTGATCACATGTTTAAAAACATTCGGGGCGAGCTCGGAGTAGAGCCGCTACTCTTTTGCTTTGAAAGGAGTTAAGATGGTTCAGGCATCTGATCAGGATCCTCCAGGACGCACACAGTCGCACACAGTCCTGAGAAACGACCTGTGCTGCAAAATCAGCTGATTTTTTGAACAAGGTTTTCTAAAAGTTATGAATGTTTGTTTTCACTCAGATTTCTGTGGATGCTTTATGAAACATTGAACTTCAACGTCACGTGTGACTCTTTAATCTTGAATATTTAAAGCCAGGTTTCCAGAGGCCAAAGGTTAGACGTAAAAAATAATTTAAAAAAAATTAAACTGGTTTGGGTGTTTGAGTCGAGTTCTGTGTGGAAAACAGTGAATGAGAATGAATCCTATGAGAAAATAAAAAGGTTGTTATTAAAATAAAAACTGCTGTATCATCGTAAACGTCTCTGCTGCAGCTCTCTTCTTCTCCTCCTGTGATTCATTCAGATCCCAGAGGAGAGAAAAGCTCCATAAGAGCACCTTAAACAGTTTGGAGGGTCAGATTACTTTTTATTGAACATTATCCGCACAAGAAAGTAAAAAACAAAAGAAACTGAGTCGTCTCTCTGACGGAATCGAATGTTAAATTCACTCTATTGTGCTCCAGCTTCAGCTTTTCACCAGCTGTTCTGAAGTTAAAGGGTTAATACATTAATGGAGCAGAGCTGTGTTCTGTAGTAAAACTGTTTTTAAAGAGTTAGAGTGAAAACAGTAAATATAAAAGTGAGGGATCTTTTTTGATCCTCACGTCGGGGGAAATGAACCAAGAGAAAGACGAAGGTTTTTGTATAATTTAATATATTTGTTTCCTCTGTGATGTCCTGTGAGCTGTCTCTCCGCTGTCAGCTGTTTGTTTTAATGCGTCTACAAGTGTGAGCACCGAGCGCCTCATCCCCTTCTTTGGAGAAATGCATTGTGGGAAGATAGTGTCCATCAACCACACTGGCTGACTGTAAATATTCAGGATGTGGACTCTGCATGTGTTGTCATGAGGATTAATGTAATGTTGCTAAAGCTAACGGGTTCTCCTAGTACAGAGACCTAAGTCCTCCGAGCGAGCTACTGAATATCCTTCCCCACACTTTCTCTCTCTCTCATTTCGGACTCTAAATAAAAACATAAAAAGCCCAAAAATAAACCTAAAAAAAGTTAAATAAATGCAGCCTTCTTCCGCTTCATCTCTGTCCTCTCTTTCCCTTCTCCATCCTCCTCCTCTCTTCTCCTCCTCTCTCCTCCTCTCTCCTCCTCTCTTCTCCTCCTCTCTCCTCCTCTCTTTCCCTTCTCCTCTCTCCTCCTCTCTTTCCCTTCTCCTCCTCTCTTCTGCTTCTTTCTCCTCCTCTCTTTCCCTTCTCCTCCTCTCTCCTCCTCTCTTTCCCTCCTCCTCCTCTCTTCTCTCTTTGTTGCTCAGGTTGTTGAGTAAAGATGGCCGCCTGTTTCCCGCTCTGATATTCTCTCTTATTCTGAGTCAAAGAAAGTTTCTAATTATCTGCAGACAGACGGAGGGATGTTCCGTGTTTACTCTCCTCTTACTCTGTCTGTGTTTTTATAGACTTATATGTAGGGGTGGCTTATTCCTGCGTGCATGTGTGTGTGCGTGCATGTGTGTGTGTCTGTGTTTGTGTGTTTGTGTGTGTCTGAGTGTAACTTGGGTTGGATGTAAAGTCAGTCTCTTGTGCGCTGCCGTCTCAGACTGTCCCCTGTGAGCAGCGAGGGCTCTGATCCGTTCTGCAAGCCAGCTTTAGTGGAGACAGACTGCTACACACACACACACACACACACACACACACACATGCAAGACTGATGAAAGAAGGAGACACTTCAGCAGATGATTAAAGGGCAAAAAGTCTGAGGAAGAGTTTGGGGGTTTTTGGAAGCGGTATGGGACAGAGAGCTGGTGAATAGTTTGAAGGATAGGGGTGATGTGGTGATGGGAGAGCAGGGCGAGCAGCAGAGTTTTGGATCTAATGGAGTTTATTTAGGACTTTGGAGGATGTGCCGTACGGGATGAGCAGCAGAGAAGGCGATTAATGGGCGGAGGAGGGCTGCGTTTTTAAGGGAAGGAGGGAAAAGCATAAATGTAACAGTACATAAAATTAAATCTTAAGAAATAAAATCACAAATACTCAACAACTGGGCTGCACGGTGCTGCAGTGGTTAGAGCTGTTTCCTCTCTGTGAGGAGGTTCCTGGTTTGATTCCCCGTCTGACAGGAGCCTCTCTGTGTGGAGTCTGCATGTTCTCCCCGTGCATGTGTGGGTTCTCTCCAGGTTCTCCGTCCAAAGACATGCTCGTTAGGTTAACTGCTGACTCTAAATTGCCTGTAGGTGTGAATGTGAGTGTGGCTGATTGTCTGTCTTTATATGTCAGCTCTGTGATTGGCTGTTGAACAGTCCAGGGTGTAACCCCGCCTCTCGCCCAATGACAGCTGGGATCGACTCCAACTAATTATTGTCAGTCTCTTGTTTTAATAATGATATAAAAAAGTTCTATGTCACGTCTTTCTGTCTTCACGTCTCCTCCTCTTCCTCCTTCTCCTTCCTCTTCCTCCTCCTCCCTCTTCTCATCCCCCTCCTCCTCCTCCTTCCCCCTCCTTCCTCCTCATCCTCCTCTGTCTCCTCCTCGCTGACTCAATACCTGAGCAGGTGCTTAAATGTCTTTACCTTTTTACATCATTCTCTCGTCTCCTTTCTCGACTTTGAGGGACGCATCTGAAACTTTGGAGAAGTCAGTTTGACTTCACTTAGCAGCTGAGTCCCTAAGAACAAAGCCTGGTTCTTTATCAAGCGCTCTAACTCAGAGTGTGTGTGTGTGTGTGTGTGTGTGTGTGTGTGTGTGTGTGTGTGTGTGTGTGTGTGTGTGTGTGTGTGTGTGTGTGTGTGTGTGTCTGTGTGTGTGTTTGTGTGTGTCTGTGTGTGTGTTTGGTGCAGGTGTGAGCTGTGACAGTGTGTGTGAAGAAGGACGTTGGGGACCAAACTGTTCATACAGCTGCACCTGCATGAACGGAGGCTCCTGCTCCCCCGAGGACGGCACCTGTGTGTGCGCTCCGGGCTACAGAGGCACCAACTGCAGACGAGGTAAAGACTCTCTCACACACACACACACACACACACACACACACACACACACACACACACACACACACACTGTACCTTTCTTAGCTGCAGGGCAGTGATGGAAGATTAACTCTGATTTGGACATTTTCAAGATCGCTTTTGAACGTATTTTTTTCTGTAAATGAAGTATGATATAATTACAAATGGTTCACATAAACACATGAAGGTTTTGTATCGTTGAAAAAGGTGCACACCTGTGAGTTAGTGTTTTGATTCTTCTCGCTCGGACTTAGAGTGTAAAATCCTGCAGTTCCTTGAGTGTCCACTAGAGGCTGGCTGCAGAAGCACAGGAAGTCACATACACACCCATTCTAAAAAGCCTGTTTTTACAGCAGAGATTAACATGTTTACAGCCCAAATAGGTGTGATTAGCTCATGTCTCGATGGACACACACTGTACAGGGGGGTGAATGTTTTGATGACTCATCAGTTTTGATTTGATGAAGGATAAGAGTTATTCACAATAATGAGTGTAGCTGACCTGATTGACAGGTGGACGCGGTGTAACGGTTTGTCAGGAGGCTTAAAACCCGCCTCAGCTCCAGCTCTCAGCCTGTCGTTAGGTTGAACGAAAGTTAGACTGACACATCGATGGGACTCCAGCGCCCCCTGCAGGAACAGACGGGGGACGTCACTCAGGCTTCAAACAGTCATATTTACAGTTCATGCATGCAACTCAGTTTTGGCATCTCATGGAAACGTTGAATACAGAAGTTGCACAAAACATGGCAGCGCCGCTTGTTTTGGAAAAAGTTGATAGATCAGAGTTTGAAGATTAAACGATTAAAGATTCAGACACATATTGCTCATTTACATTTATGCATAAAGAAACCATGGACAGATAAGTTCTGTGATTCCAGAGGCCGTCTGAGACATTGGAGGAGTCACAGCTGACGAGTGTGTTCGAGGTGTTTCTTATTGTCCGTTTTTATATAAAGTCTCAATCGGAAGCTCGTTGGTGATGTTGCTCGTGGCTGACTCTCTGATCCTCACACACCAGGTTTCCTCTGCGTCTCTCAGCATCATCAGAGTTACACATTTCAGGGCTTTCGGTTCACAGTTTAGTCGATTATCTTAATGAGTGAAATCCTGTAATGTGAGAGGAGCAGCGGAGCGTCTCTCTGCTCAGAGGAACATCAATTAACGCAAATTAAAGCAGCGAGAGAAGACGGACGAGGGAGGGGAACAAAGCTAACAGCGGCCTACAGGTCCAGCCACACACACACACACACACACACACACACACACACACACACACACACAAACGTATAGGTGTAGTGGACACAGCAGATATTAAGTTTTCATATACGTGACATTATTTTAAATTGGATTAAGTGGACCATGAAATCTATTTTTAAAATGATCAAAGAACTAATCAGAGAAGTAATCAGAAGTTTCCCTTGGACTCGGAAATGGACTCTCCCCCCACCTCTCTCTCTCTCTCTCTCTCTCCCTCTCTCTCTCTCTCTCTCTCGTTCTCTCTCTCTTTCTCTCATACATCTCTCTAACAGCAGTGTCTTCTGTGTGTGTGTGTGTGTGTGTGTGTGTGCGTGTGTGTGTGCGTGTGTGTGTGCGTGCGTGCGCGCGTGCGTGCGTGCGTGTGCGTGTGCGTTTGTACGTGCGTGTGCGTGTGTGTGCAGCATGCTCTCCTGGATTCTTCGGTCAGCGCTGCAGTCAGTCGTGTCCTCAGTGCGTCCACAGTGACGGAGCGTGTCACCACGTCACCGGACACTGTGAGTGTCTCTCCGGATTCTTCGGCTCGCTCTGTAACCAAGGTCAGTGTCACTGTGTCGTCATGTGTTCACTCCCTCCAAAGCCAACCCTCCTCCTCCTCCCTGACACACGAAGGCCGCCTGTGGCGTTGCCTCACGTCTTGGCAAAAAAGATGCACTTGAACACACCACAAAGACTACAGCCGACGGCCAACCACCACGTACGTTCTGCTCATGAGGAGAGGAAGTAACTCTCCATGCCAGCAGGGGGCGGTAGTCTGTTGTTATGATACGAGAAGACCATTTTCACACCGCTGTCGCTCACCACTCGTATTATAGGTCGTCTACTAATGGAGAATAATGTCTGATAAAAAGTTGAAATTGGCGATTCGACATGAATCGCCTGAATAAGGCTGACGGGTTGCGACGGAGCCTGACACACTGCGTCTGTGTCCGGGTCTTCAGACCGCTCTGTGTCCAGGTCTTTAAGGTACCCAATGAGTCCTCCTGAGTCTCTCATCTCCAGCCTTTGTTTGAAATCTCTGACTTCTCTTTGAGCTGCAGGTGAGAGCCGATGAGGTGCATACAAAGCAAAGCCCTGAAGGTCATCATCTCGTTCAAAACGTGGATCATATAAAAAGGAAACCTTGAGCTCCTCCTGCATCTCTTTTCATCACGTCTGCCTCCTGCTCATTGGACCTGAGTCCTCTCTTTGTGCGTTCCTCGTGCCCGTCATTATTTCAGGTTGAACTCATCTGCAGGTTAAACAGGTGTTCATTCTCCTCTGAAGGCACGGGAGCTCGGGGGTTGGTCTGATTTTTCTTGAAGAGACGGAGGAGGAGAGAGCTGTGAAATATTCATCATCATTAAACATGAACAGGCCTTCGTTAGGCCCTGTGCTGCATTAAACATGCTGCTGGCCGCTGCATCTTTAACTGGCCCCGCTTTCATGGATCTCATGTCCAGCTGCACAAAGGGGGGGGGGGGGGCAATAAATCGCCTGGAGTTCCAGTCAGGCTTCCTCCCCAAACTGGAAACCATCCCAAAGAAGCTAACGATGCTCAGAACACAAAGAGGATCTGAAGAAAACGAGTTCAGTGACATAAAATGGATTTCAGACGTAGAAACTGTTGAAGATGTTAAAGATGTAGATCACTCTGCTTTAACCTCCACTCAGTGTCTGCAATACACAAATCAACTAAGGTAGATTTTCAGCGTCAGGGTGTTGGAGGTGCTTCAATGTAACCCCAAAAAACATAAAGATTATATCAACATGAAGGAAGTTCTGCTTTAACCAGTCCAAAGTCAGGTTTCCACCTGAAGCACCGAGAACTTTTGGCCCGAGGAGCTTCTGTGCAAAGGATGCTTAGATTTTAAACTTTTCACTCTCTTATTGTTAAGGATATGCACGCCTGCACAAACAAAATCCTTGTTCACATTCACAACAAAACTCCTGAAAAAAAGTTTCTGTGAGCTGCATGTGTGAACGCAAAAAGACAGATTTTTAACTCTGACTTTATCCAGAGTTTCCCCTCCAGCCTCCCGGTATGTTTTCCACTTGAAGTCCTATTGAGCTGATGTGAGAACAAAGCAGGATATAATCAGGAGAATTCACCTCCAGCGAGTGGGAGGGGGTGGTGACGTTTATTTCCTGTGATCTGCTGCAACTCAGGTCTCTTGGAAAAGTTCCTGTTGCAGAAATGCAGCTTAAAGGTCCCATATGATGCTAAATCCACTTCACCATGTTTCTCTGACACTAACATGTGTCTCTAGTCTGTCTACAAACCCCCCCAATTATGAGAAAAGTCCATCCTCTCCGTCTTTTGCCTGCTCCACTTTTCAGAAAATGTGTGCTCAAACAGGCCGTTTGGAGATTTTCCCTTCATGACATCAAAAAGGGCAGTAACCCCTCCCCCAGGTGGCTGACACTCCCACAGCTAGGTGTTTGTTCTGCCCTCTGAGTCTGCCTTCTCACCGTAAACAATAGGACATGGAGCGAGAAAGCCCAAGACACCCAAGTCCTTCTAGAGAGGGGGCGTGGTCAGACACAGCTCATTTACATATTTAAAGGTACAGACACAGAAACAGCCTGTTCTGAGCAGGGCTGAAATAGAGGGGTTTATAGACATGATCAAATACAGGATCAGAGTGGATTTAGAACAAGAAACTTCACAGACATGTTTTGAGGAGCTCTGAGACTTATTTAAACTGGTTGAAGAGGAGGAGAATATGTTACCTTTAAACCTGAGCAACCACACCTTTTTGATTTGTGACTTTTTCTGTATTTCTTATTTCTGTTTACAAGTAAATGATCCAGAAATTCACAAGAACATAAAGCAAATGTTGGAGGAAAGTAATCAGACATTATGAGATATAAAATTAGTCTCTGCTCATTTTTTATTTACAATCTTAGATTTCATCACGTTCAGGTCCACATCCTTCCCCTCCTGCAATCAACTGACATGAGGCCGACGACTAATGATGATAAGTTAGCTCCCTTTTGTTAGTATTAGCAGAGGATATAGCCGCTCGAATCTGAACTTGCACAGTTGGAAATGTGACCAGTTTGTAGCTCGATATGGAAAGTCAGAAAGTCTCCATCATCATGAGGATGCATCCTCCTGGGAGCCTGAATATCCGCACTTCATTTCATTACGATCGGTCTGTTGTTGCCTGGGTGTTTCTCTCTGATCTGCGGGCTTCAGAGGACCCAGTGACACTTTAAGTGTTATTAAAGCAGCATTAATAAAAGTGAACAGAGGATCACGAGGGAGCGTCTGATCAGTCCCTCTCCTGCTAATTATTTCTGCTAAACTCTCCTGATTTAGTCCTGAACACACACTGTAGCACTTTGATCCAAACTTTGCAGACACTGCTCACACATGGGTAACTGTTACATAAGTAAAGGGACTTCATTAAAACATTTATAATGATCTTTATTTCACTCGTATTCACAGCAGGGACTCCCTCCTGGGTTTTAGACGTCTGGAAGTAAAGCAGAAGAGCTTCTGATCACTGTGTGTGTGTTATCACCTTTAAAGGAGCAGTATGTAACTCTGACCCCTAGTGTTTAAAATGGGTACTGCAGTCCACATTTAAAACATTGTAGAGAGCTGTCTACCTCCCTCCTCTCTAGAGTTGATGCTCACACAGGTCACCATGTGGTGGACACTGTAGCTTCAGTGTTTATCCAGCTCTGCATCGGTCTGTAAACCTTTCTGTGTTCTAACCTCTCTCCATTTTTCAAAAGCATCTCCAATATTGATCCTAGTTTGAGCATGTTTCTGCTCGTGGAGCTTATTAGAAACATGCAGAGGCTTTTTAGGTCGGGTACAATCACTTCTATCTGACCCACTTCTCTTGCCCGCTTCCATCGCTGCAACACCTGTTGGTTTGACCTGGTAATATGTGTAATCATGTTTTGGGTTTTCACATGAACAGAATTTTAAACCTGGCTTTGACTCTAGGTCTCACCTACACATTCACACACTGATGGTAGAGGCTGCTGAGTCCAACTTGCAACTTGGGGTTAAGTGTCTTGCCCAACTGGAAATTAACAGAGCATGTACGTGCATCACCGCTCGACACTCTGAAGCGTGATGATGTTTGTTTTAATCCATACAGCGCCCTCTGCTGGTGACAGAGAACTGCTAGTGTAATACAACGAAACTCAAATGAAATGCTATTTGACTGGTGAATAAATCGATTAATATCAGCACATATCTGAGATAAAATGAGCCGATACTGATAGTCACTGGATATGCTAATATCGGCCCATGTTATCGGTTTGCTGATTAATCGGTCGTGCTCTAGTTATTGCATGTGATAAGCTTCTAATGAGCTTTAGAGTAAATATAAGAGGTGTGAAATGTAGTCAGATGCAAATCTCTGCACAGCTCATGTTTCCCTAACGACTTTACTTTCTGCCTAAACATTCACATTAAAGGATCTGACACACACATAAATATATTAATAATAATACATCTGCAGAGATTTACAAAGTCAAACATGCCCGCCCTCTGTGTTCTGAGCAAACACTCGTTAAAGTTTGTTTTAATGAGAGACAGCAAGCTCAGTGAAATGTACCTGACTGTTATATTTCTGTTTTAAAAAGATATTTTCCTTTAGCCTCTCTTTAAAAATCTGCTGCTCGCTTACAAACGGCTCCTCCTTACCTGAACTCTATAATCCAGGTCTCCCTCTCGCCCAATGAACACTTTGCCAATGAAAGGCGTCGGATCCAATCTTAACAAACAGGGCCCTAAGACGCTAACTAGACTCTTCTCCTCTGTCGCCCCCCAGTGGTGGAACCAACTACCAAACTCCATTTGATCTGCAGAGTCCCTCTGCACCTTTAACAAAAAGATAAAGACCCAACTCTTTATGAACACCTACGACCTTCATGATGATGATGATGATGTTTAGGATGGTTTTAGAGCTGATTAGAAATCTCAAGAACAGGGTTTGGGTTAGCGATGTTGTGCTCTGCCTCTGGTCACTTCCTGTCAGCACCTCTGGTCACTTCTGTTCAGCACCTCTGGTCACTTCTGTTCAGCACCTCTGGTCACTTCCTGTCAGCACCTCTGGTCACTTCTGTTCAGCACCTCTGGTCACTTCCTGTCAGCACCTCTGGTCACTTCTGTTCAGCACCTCTGGTCACCTCCTGTCAGCACCTATGTGTCCGATCAGACTTGAAGCTGTTTCTTCTCACTTCCTGTCGTTGTCTCCTCCTCTCGCTTACTCTCTGATGTTCTTCACTTTGGATAAAAATCGTCTGAAACATGATTTGCAGATTTGTAGCTTCTTGTTGTCGAGGGATTTTTAATACAGCAAGTTTTACTTTTAACTCAATAAAGCCACAGATCTCAGCTCAAAGGGAACATTATATTCATATAAAAACACAGAATTAGACCATTTGCATAATGAGAACACCCGGCAGGACGTTACTGCATGATCAATCAGCGTCTGTGTCTCCATATCTTATTACACTAATCCATTTAGTCCATTTTTAAAGGAGATGAAAGAAGTTCCTACAGCAACAGGGACGTGTTTCTGTGGAGAGACCACCTGAAAAAACAAACGTATTCTGAGGTAAAACTTTGAGACATCGTCCTCATCACATGTTTCAAAGCTGAACGTTCAAATGAAAACATCTGATTTCCCATGAAATGAATGATAATTAAAGTGAACAGTAACGTGACTTCTGCGTTGAATGTTGCATTAAAAAGAGAAGGTCGCCGTGCTTGTCTAAAGACGCGTTTCATCTTTTATTCTTGAAACCTTGTGCAGCTTGTTTTCACCCTGATTACTCACAGAATTCACCTTTCATTCAATTTGAAAAAACGTCTTTTGTTGACGTGTTTTTGCAGCATTGTGTCTCTCTATAACCCTGAGATTAAAGTTTGACAAGTGCACATTAAAATATCCCTACTCTTCAAGTAAATGTTATCATCTTTTCCGGTTTGTTAAAGGGGACATATTCTGAGAAACAGTTGTATGTTTGTGAACATATATTTGGGTAACCTGAGTGTCTACTGACCCACAAAATGTGAAATAAACCCATCCAGTCCTTTGTTTGTGGTCTGCATAAGTCTTACAACACAGAGAAAAATGCTCTGTTTCAAATGTGCTCTCCTTGTGATGTCACAGTGGGATTCTGGTAAAAAAAAAAAAAAAAAAAAAAAAATCCCCTCCCCTCCCCTGGTATCTCCTCCCATGGACTACACCCCAAGCCTAGAGCAAAACTTTTGAGCAGGTCGGCCATTTTTATTCTCGCTACAGAGGAGTGATGTCTACGGGGAAAACTCAGGGGGGCTCATTGCATTTAAAGAGACACACACACCAAAACGGAGCGTTCTGAGAGACTTGGTTTATACAGGGTCACAAACCTCCTCTGGTGCTTGATTCATGTTATATTTTGACCAAAGCACAGCACAGATGTTTCATTTAGACCACAGGGGGACTGTTTGAAAAGGTGGAGAAGGGGGAGAATATGTCCTCTTTAAATGTCAGGGTTGGTAATTTCCTCCAGATCCACTTTTAAAGATTTTGGTTGAAATTGTCTTTAGGTCCTGACAGAAATTAATAACTCAGGTTCTCTGAAAAATGAACAAAGAGAATCCGTTATCAGTAGCAGTTTGTGAGCCTGTCTCACTCTGTGTGGTCTTAATTACATCACCAGTCGTACCTACAGCGGCCATTTTCTTTTTTGTTTTAATTTCAATGATTGCTTTTAAAGAGAGAGAGAAACATGGAAGCATAGACAACCTTTGAGTACAAATTCCATAAATATTCTATAAATCGCACAGGCTTTTACTTCCTTCAGTCTATGAAAACTGTAAATTTACACTGAATTTTTACTGAAACAATATTTAAGTGTGCATTCAATTTTCATGATAAATCACTGATGAATGGCTGTGGCTCAGTGGGTAGAGTCTCTTGATTGGGAGGTTGGGGGTTTGATCTCTGGCTCCTGCAGCCTCATGTCTGATGTGTCCTTGGTCAGTGTGTGAATGTGTAGGAAAAGAATTAGCCATGTATGAGCTACAAGACCATTTACCATAACTATTTTTTAATGTGTGTGTGTGTGTGTGTGTGTGTGTGTGTGTGTGTGTGTGTGTGTGTGTGTGTGTGTGTGTGTGTGTGTGTGTGTGTGTGTGTGTCCACAGTGTGTCCTGGGGGGAAGTTCGGCAAAGCGTGTGCCGAGTCGTGTTCATGCACGAACAACGGACGTGTAACCCGATCGACGGCTCGTGTCAGTGTTACCCCGGCTGGATCGGAGACGACTGCTCCAAAGGTGAGACACCAAACGTCCTCTCTCCTTCTTCTTCTTCTTCTTCTTCTTCTTCTTCTTCTTCTTCTTCTTCTTCTCCTTCTTCTTCTTCTTCTTCTTCTTCTTCTTCTTCTCCTTCTCCTTCTCCTTCTCCTTCTTCTTCTTCTTCTCCTTCTTCTTCTTCTTCTTCTTCTTCTTCTTCTTCTCCTTCTCCTTCTCCTTCTCCTTCTTCTTCTTCTTCTTCTTCTTCTTCTTCTTCTTCTTCTGAACTTTACCACCATCATTGTTTGTTTGAATAAGAGAGACCCATGGAAAGTAAATATCACCTATAGAGGTTTTTAACTGGCATGAATCTAGTGTTGTCCAGTCTCGAGACGACTTTTTGAAGGTCTCAGTCTCGTCTCGGTCTCAGACTGGGCCTGGGTGAATCAGCTGTGACATCATCTGAATAATCAGTCAGCTCAGACGTCCAGATCTCAGACTGAGCCTCAGGCGTCAGACTTCTGTGTGTGTGTTTTTGCATTTGTTTATGTTTTATCGAACTGTGTGTGTGTGTGTGTGTGTGTGTGTGTGTGTGGTGTGTGGTGTGTGTGTGTGTGTGTGTGTGTGTGTGTGTGTGTGTGTGTGTGTGTGTGTTCTGCAGCGTGTCCTCAGGGCTCGTGGGGTCCAGATTGCATCCACACATGTAACTGTCACAACGGAGCTCAGTGCAGCGCCACAGACGGAGAGTGTGACTGCAGCCCCGGGTGGACGGGACTCTACTGTACCCAACGTACGACACACAAACACACACACACACACACACACACACACACACACACACACACACACACACACACACACACACACACACACACACACACACACACACACACACACACACACACACACACACACACACACACACACACACAGAGTGAGAGACTCTCCATTGAATCTCTCAGACCTGCAGCACTCTCTAGTGGCAGAAAGAAGAACTACATCCTTCATATCCTTACAATCCTTCCTTTCTTCCTTCATTTCCTACCTCCTTTTTCCTTCATCTCTTGGTAACAGAGTTTAGTGTCACTATTTTTCACACTGATTGTTGACTTCTTCCACCAGCAGTCATGAAACAGGCTGTAATGGCTGCAACATAACGGTAACACTTGGTCACAGACAACAAAGTTGATCTAATCTAATCACCAGAAACACGAGTCAGGAAACACAACAGAGACTCTTCAGTTCCTCCTGAGCAGTCGTTTCCATCTGCTGGAAAACAATCTGGGTTTGGTTCAATCTGCAGAGAGGATCCAGATCGTCTCCTCTGTGACTGAACAGATTATCAAGTCTGAGAAAAGCTGCCTGAAAGCTTCAGATTCAGTGATCCTCTCTGTCAGAGTCTGAAGATGCTGAGAGTGTAAACCTGTAAACACATGTTGTTGTCCTGTTTCCTCCTCAGGCTGTCCTTCAGGCTTCTTCGGCTCCCAGTGTGCAGAGGTGTGTCGCTGTCAGAACGGGGCCGACTGCGACCACATCAGCGGACAGTGTTCCTGCAGGACGGGCTTCATCGGACAGAGCTGCGAGCTCAGTGAGTCACACATCTTCACGCTTTATAGAAGAGAAACGAGAGATGAGCTTTTTCCAACTAAATATTCATGAGTGAAACAATATCGAGGCAGTCAGTGGTTTACAGCTGTTTCCTCGTCCTTGTCCTTTTCCTCCTTTTCTCTTTCTCCTTCCTCCTCTTCCTCTTCTTCCTTCTCCTCTTCCTCTTCCTCTTCCTCTTCCTCTTCCTCCTCCTCGTCCCTTCTCCTCCTCCTCGTCCCTTCTCCTCCTCATCCTCCTCTTCCTCCTCCTCGTCCTTGTCCTTTTCCTCCTTTTCTTTCTCCTTCCTCCTCTTCCTCTTCCTCTTCCTCTTCCTCTTCCTCCTCCTCGTCCCTTCTCCTCCTCATCCTCCTCTTCCTCCTCCTCGTCCTTGTCCTTTTCCTCCTTTTCTCTTTCTCCTTCCTCCTCTTCCTCTTCCTCCTTCTCCTCCTCCTCCTCCTCTTCCTCCTCCTCCTCGTCCTTGTCCTCCTCCTCCTTTTCTCTTTCTCCTTCCTCCTCTTCCTCTTCCTCCTTCTCCTCCTCCTCCTCCTCTTCCTCCTCCTCCTCGTCCTTGTCCTCCTCCTCCTTTCTCTTTCTCCTTCCTCCTCCTCCTCCTCCTCCTCCTCCTCCTCCTCCTCCCAGCCCCCCACGACACTTAACGGGACAAGTTGTATAGATAATGGATGGACACAATATCAAAAGTTAACTGTTCCTGGTTTTGGCTGGAGCAGCAGCCAGTTCCAGTTCAGCCAATCAGCTGCTGACATTTTGTGTGTGACAAAAGAAAGAAGACACGATGAGACAGTGCAGCTTAAACTGAGGATAAATAATGAAACATGTGTCTTTCCTTGAAATGTAAACACTAAACATCTGTGTTGGACCTCCTCTCTTCACTCAGAGTGTCCGGCGGGGACGTTCGGTTACGGCTGTCAGCAGCTGTGCGAGTATGAACAACGCCACCTGCGACTACGTGACGGGAACGTGTTACTGCAGCATCGGCTTCAAAGGGATCCGCTGTGACCAGGGTGAGGACTAATGGATCTGTAGGGGGGCCGGGGTGAAGCTGGAGGCTCCTCTCTGAGGGCTCATAGGGAGGTTCAAATAGATTCTGAAGAAGGAGATGAGAGGCGGACGCATGCATCCGATTTTAAAGAGAATTAAAAGAAGAAACACACACGGACGTCTGCATGAGACAGAGAAACTTTTATTTTATAACACAAAGGTACAAAGAAACATAACGCACTGATGTGTTTCTGCATTCTGTCCTGATTTAATTCATGTTTATGGTCAGTCACAGGTTCACTCTAAAACTATGAATTCAGTCAACATTACAAACACATGCTAATCATTGTTTTCTGTCATTTCTGTGGATTCTTGATCGATTCCCGACAGTTTCTGAAGTCATCAGAGAGGATGAATTAGTCAAGTGTGTGCATGCTTTATGAGTTTGAGAGCCGACAGGTGCAATGATTTATCGCCCTCTGTCTGAGTATAAAAAACATTATGAGATCAGAGTTAGACTTACACAGACAGCTTCCATTAAAGCTACTCGGGATCCAACATCATCATAGAGAAGGACGTTATTTTGCCCTCTCACTGGTCACTGGTGCTCAAAGACATGTACACACACATTTCATAAAACATTTGGTAACATGCACAAACATTTCCTGACCTGAAACAACAACATTTTGTAAAACCTAAAATTATTTAGTAGCTCAGTCTATAGGGACTTGGGTAAGGAACCAGAGGGTTGTTGGTTTAAGTCCCGGTACGGACCAAATATGGAAGTTGGTCTGATGGCTGGAGAGGTGCCAGGTCACTTCTCGAGCACTTGAGCACTCAAGGCAGTGAACCCCTAACTGCTCTGGCGCTCCCTGTGTAGCAGCACCACTCAGATAAAAACATTTAGGATTTATTTTTATGCTTTTGCCTTTGTTTGATTGGACAGTGGATAGAGTAGGAAGTTGGGAGAGAGTTGGGAATGACATGCAGGAAAGGAGTCAAGGGTGGGACTTGAACCCGGGCTGCCTGCTTGGAGGACTATAGCCTCCTAGGTCTGTACATGGGGCGCGACCTAACCGCTAGGCCATCTGCGCCCCAGGCATAAACATTTTGTAAAACCTCAAAATATTTGCTGATTTATTTATTTCTGCGGCCGTTTTCGTCCCGTCAGCGGCTCTGATGATGGAGGAGTTGAACCCGTACACAAAGATCAGCCCGGCTCTGGCCTCGGAGCGTCAGTCGGCCGGCGCCGTGCTGGGCATCATCTTCCTGCTGCTGCTCATCATGGTCATGCTCGGCCTCGTCGTCTGGTTCCGCTTCAGACAGAGAGAGAAGGGTCACCACGTCCCCAATGTCACCTACACCCCCGCCCTGCACATCAACTCCACCGACTACTCCCTCTCAGGTGAGACGGACGCACTGCAGACGAGTTTCTTTACCTTTTTTAAAATTCCAGGTTCTGTTTTTTCACACATCCAGGCAGTTTGGAAATCTCGGCATCTTTCTAACTCAATGTGTTCAACAGCATGGACCTTACAGAGATTATATATTGAGTGTTATTGATGAAAGTGAATCCAGGTAACTTTACCCCCAGACCGTCTGCATGTGGGTATTAAGAAGTGTCTCGATATCTGAGCACAAAGTCTTTCAGTTCTTTACATTGTGTTAGAAATATCAAGCAGCAACCTCCGGTGTTGAAAAATGAAGCCGACGTTGAAGTGCAAAATCCTGCAGTTCCTCGAGTGTCCACTAGAGGCTGGCTGCAGAAGCACAGGAAGTGACATACACACCCATTAAAAAAAAGCCTGTTTTTACAGCATGTTTACAGCCTGGTTCAAAAAAACAAACAGATACTCTGGAGGAGAGAATTCCTCGACGTTAAGCCACATTTCTTTTTCTTTTAAAGGTTTATTTTTGGGCTAATGCCTTTATTTGCGAGATAGGACAGTGGATAGAGTCGGAAATCAGGGACAGAGAGAGAGAGAGTTGGGAATGACAAATCGGGAAAGGAGCCACAGTTCAGACTGGAACCCAGGCCAGCCGCACTCACAACTAGGCTACTGACACAACCTCAAGCCACATTTCTCTCGGTAAACTTTCATTGCTGCTTCTCGAGTCGTTGCTCTTGGCTAAATAACGAGCTAAACGTGTTACTCAGTTCATGTGTGTGTCACATAGACTGTTTGATGTTGATGGTAACGGCATGAAGAAGTGAGTGGGTCGATCTTCACATCCCCTTCCTCAGTATGTTGAAACATTAACCATTTAAAATGTTCAATTCCAGGGTAGATTTTGGGGGCTTGGTTCCTCTTCAGGTCTTTTTTTCTTCCAGCTCTGATCGTTACTTTATGAGGGTTTGAATGTGTGTTTGTGTGTGTGGCTCTTTCACAAGATGAGATGATTTAATGATATCTCATGATGTTTCCAGCTTCCTCCCTCGTCTTAACCTCCTTTCAGGCTGTCAGCTGCTCTGTGTGTCCACGTGCATGTCCTGTATATCTTAATGCTGAATAAAGAGAGGTAACGATGGTGTTGGTATGACAGCAGGGCTGCAGTGCACAGGCCTGCTCTCCTCTGCAGACTCCTCTCCCAGTAACAGCTCTGTAGGACGCTGCTTCTCCAACCCCAGCTACCGCACCCTAGGGCCCTGCACCTACGCCGCGCACTACGCCAAGCCCGACAAGAGGACCTCCAACAAGGTGCGTTCAAGGACTCTCTCACCCGAGAAAACTCTCACAGTCTGTTAGTTTGGGCTGCAGGGTGCGGACACGTTTTCTTAAAGTCAGTATGAGATGAGATAAGACAGGAGAAGACTTTATTGATCTGCAGAGGGGAGATTTTTCAGCAGCACAAAGACAGATAAGAAATTAAAAAGTAAGAGATAGATAAGAAAGTAAATAATGAAGGTTTGTAAAACTAGAATGAGTTTAGCATTTTAAATTAAACGCTTCAAGAGACACGTAAGAGAATTGAGTCATTTCTCTCTGACTGTTTGCAGCATTTGATCTCTGGTGAGTTCATTTTCTTTGCATATTTCTCCTCAGATGAAGACGAAGAAGCGACACAGGAACAGCGCTCCAGAGTGGGGGGCCTACTGTAACCTCAGTGATCTGGGTCGGTTAAGTTTCTCCCCATCCTGCTTTGAATATTTGTTTTTACTCAGACAGTTACACTTAGCGCTAAAGGATAGCAACACATAAGAAAAAACTCCAGATGCAAATTGGGTCAGGGAATGCTAATCGCTTGAAATTGCATTGTTCTTCAGATGTACAGGGATGCAAGTCTGTTAGCTTGATGCTAACTAATACTGGAAAATGCCATTAACTGGCTAACAGAATTACTTAGACTTAGACTTAGACTTAGACTTTCTTTATTGTCATTCAAACTTGTACTTTACAGTGCAGATAAGAACAAAATTTCGTTGCATTTGGCTCGGCAGGATAAAAACAGCAGCAAGTATATACATAGAAAAAATAAGGCGCAGATATAAAAGAAAAGCTATGAGTAAAATTACTATACAGATAAATATATTGCACGTTATATTGTATTTTACAGTCCAGTGAGGTAGTCCTGTGTGGGGTTTGAGGGGGAATGGAGGATTATTTTTTCCTGTTCAAAAGTCTTATGCCTGTGGGAAGAAGCTGTTACAGAACCTGGAAGTTCTGGGTACTGATCCTAGCTAACAGGTATTCAAACTGGACCTGGTACTGATCCTTTTTTCTCTCCGCTTTGTGTGCAGGTGTTTACTGCATCGACCGGCGGTTAAGTTACCACGTGGAGCCGCGTTACAGAGGTACAGTGTGAGGTTCAGTGAACCTCTGTGACATCAGCAACCTCTGACCCTGCAGCCAATCACTGCTTGTCTTACACTTTGACCCCCCCATGCTTCATGTTGCAGATCCCTGTCCATCAAAGTCATGCTGGTTCTGGATTCCTGCATGTCACATGTAACAAAAGAGGGAATATAAACTATGAAATAAGACTCAAGATTTCCAGATTAAATGTTTTTTGATCAAGTTCAGGATTGTGAAATCGGACTACTCAAGTGGAATACTTGAGTAGTCTATACAAATATAGACTTCTAGCGTTGGTAGTTTAGAGGTTTTCTTGCAAAAACAGGAAACACTGTGACCACATCTCTAAGGGCGCACTGACAGTAGGGAGTCCAAACCGCCAAAGTCAAAATTGCTCCCCAAACTGTGTTGAAGCGCAAACAGTGTCTCCGTGCGCAGGAGCTGCTTGTGCTTTATCTTTTAGCCTTTATGTAGTCATTTAGGGAAAAAGAGTCCTCTTTCTATCCAACTAAGAATCCTTTTAAGAAAACATTGAATTAAAAAATACTAGTGGAGCGATTACCTTCTGCTAAGAGTTGGCGGTAACTGCGCAGCGGTATTTATAAGAGACATGATGCTAGAACACTTCCACCTCTGTATGCCTTCAAAATAAAAGCTCTGTAAATAAAGTATAAGCAGGGGTTAAATCACTCCGGGGCTGTCAGCGGCTCCACACTTCATCTAACATGTCTGGAGCCGTTTTTTGGAGAGGCGTTGACTTGCCCCATTCAGGGAGGACGCTTTGTTGTTTCCAACCCGAGCTTTAGGTACAGCACCTGAGTAAATGTTTCATTTAAAGTCAGCAGGGACCTTAGATTGTCAATTTAATAGATGAAACTGATTCCCGTCTCGTGTTATCGGCGAGGTTGTTCCTTAACGCTACAGTATAAGTGCACATATCGCATGTTTGTACCTGAATGCTCAGCTCGTCCTCGTCTGTTTAAAATGATTGTAACTGATTTGTGTGTTTGTGTCTCTGCAGGATGAACCTGACTCCTCTCCTCTGTGTGTCTCCCCTCTCTGCAGGGGGGGCGGGGTCCTTCCTCCTTCTCTGACCCCCCCCCCACACCTCCAAAACTCACCTGGATAAAATCTCTCCCTCACAATAACTGAATGCAGCTTGTTTTCCTGTCGCTTGATTTCCCAGATTGTCTCTTCTTTACACCCTTCTGTGTGTTTTTAGCTGCTTCTGTTGAGTGTGCAGCTTCACCTCTGTTGTCCACCGATGTGATGATTCCTCTAACCTTTCTGTTTGTTTATGAAGAACCAGTTAAATGTTGATTTTCTGAATTTTACTTCTTTGTATCAAATCCTGTGAAAACGTGACCCTAACCATGAAGTCGTCTGTTCAGTCCTGCTGCTCTGAATGCTCATTAGATCGACAATTATGTACTCATCCACTGCTGAAAATAGTCCCTAACGTTTGCACCACTTCCTCCTGTTTGTGTCACATTTGATAGAAACTACAGAGAACAAATGTTGAAGACTAACCTGGTCCCTCAGTGGCGAACATGTCACTGATTTTGAAGCATTTGGCTGTGTCTGTGACGAGGGCCTTTTTCTTTCCTATCCTCTCCCTCTCTGCTCCACCTGTCCTTTTTCTTATGACCGTCCATTAGTGATGTAGTACTTGAAATCGGTCACTTTTTGAAGGCCCCGGTCTCGTCTCGGAATCAAAATAATTTTTACTCAGTCTTGTCTCAGTCTCAGACTGTCCACCAATCAAGACCACCACCGATCGGCTTTTTTTCCACATCTAAAAGAACTTTCTTACTAAAAGAATAAATTACTTCAATTCATCTGTAGTTTTGATTTTTATCCCCGGGTTACAGCGCCATCCTTCCTAGAGTTACGGTCTAAGGAACAATTTTCATGAAAAAATGGTTACCTACCTGTTGCAACCTATTTATGGTCTTGGTCTTGGTCTTGGTCTTGGTCTTGGTCTTGGTCTTGGTCTTGGTCTAAACCAACCGCGAGAGTCGCCCTAGCATATGATACTTCCTGCGTTCAGAAAGATATTCACTCATTCTTGCCGCTCACATTAACGGCTCATAGCAGCTCAAATATTACCTCAGGTCTCTGGGAAATGTCCCGGTGCTCCAGATGTAAAATCCACGCCTGAGTGAGCTTTTCCTCAAACTCCAGTTCGATGTTTCTGTGACGTTACATCTACATCTTCAGTAAACACAGAGTGTCACAGACAGAGCAGGACGCTGAGTAGACTTTCTGTTTGTGACATTTTTTTTAGACAAACTAGAAAACATTTTTGAATAATGGGAGCCTTATCCTCGAACCAGAAATGTAATTTACTGTCATGACAGCTTGACCTTTCAGGACTGACGTCCAGAGATGAGTCCTGCTCAGAACACAGACATGAGAGCGATCGCTAGGGCAGCTCTCCAGATAACCAGGAAGTCTGTTTAATTCATAACCTCCTTGAAATGTTTCAGACGGGAGACATCGAAATGGTCTCTAATTTTGTCTGTTGGAGGCTCGGAGCCTTTTTCTCTCGGAGCCGCGAACACTGAGCATCAGCTGCAGACCTTCAGAGACGAGCAGCCTCTTCACTGTTCCCATCATTACCAACGAGTTCAACCAGAGTTCAGACACTCCTAAGAGCTCTGTCATTTAAAGCACAGAGCGTTGTTTCTCTGCACTCTGAGGTTAAACGACCCGTGTGTTTCCTCTCTCTCTGTCAGATTACATGAAGGGCTCGCTGTCCAGCACCTGCTCCCTGAACAGTGAGAACCCGTACGCCACCATCAACGACCCCCCCGGTCTCTGCAAACACACGGAGAGCAGCTACGTGGAGATGAAGTCGCCGGCTCGCCACGAGCACATGACGCACTGCTGCTCCGCCGCCATCATCACCACGACCACCACAACCACAGCACCCGCCAAGAACGTCTACGACATGGGTACAACGTTTGAGCTTTTACTCAAACATCTTTTTTTTTTCCTGAAATATTTTTTATGTTCATAAAAAGTTTTTATAACTCAGGAAATGTTTGTGAGCTTAACTAGCTCGGCAAGTTCCTCGTTGTCTGTTGCACGAGAAGTTAACTTATTGCCAGAACTCTTTCTTCAACCTGTTGCCATCACAGCGACTAGAAGGCTTTTAGAAAACAAATAAATCGACTGAAAACTTAAAAGGGTAACAGTAAGTATGAAAATATTATTAAATTAAGAGAGGATTCTGCGGAGCGACGGACTGAAGCTTCTACATCCCTCATGGCGGTCACGGGACTCCCCTGCTCTCCTCACGCTTATACCTGGATGTAAACGAGCACAGTGAGCAGAGAGCGTCTCTTAGGAGCAGAGCAGTTTGTAGGCTGAGTCAGGTTAAACGGGCTGATCGACCAGAGCGATGAGTGACCACATTTAGCACGGGCACGTGGACTCAACCTGCAGGGAGCACTGCTAATGTTAGCCACGCAACTATTTTCAGTACATTTTGCTCAATTTGAGTTTATTCTGAGTGTTTCTTACCCGTACACCTTTCTTAAATTCCTCTTCTCCCATTTCTCTTTTTTCCCTCCAGAACCCACCATCAGCATCTTGCAGGGAGCGGGCGGCGTCGTGGTCCCCACTTACCCTCAGAATCCGTACGACCTGCCCAGAAACAGCCACATCCCGAGCCACTACGACCTGCTGCCCATGCGCCCCAGCCCCTCCCACACCCAGAGCCTCACCATGCAGAGCCACAGCCCCCCCCTGCCCGGCAGCCCCACCAGCTCACTGCTCTAAACTCCTTAACCCCCATCCCCCCCGGACCGGTGCTCCCAGTTCATCCTGATCCAGGAAACTTTTAATCAAGACACAACACAGTTTCTATTTTGTTCTTGAAACATTCAGAGGACAACGAGCTGAAGGACATGTTTCACTTCAGCTGATGTTTATTTATTTATTTATCTTTGTGTATTTGTTTGGCTGGTGTGTGTGTGTGTGTGTGTGTGTGTGTGTGTGTGAGAGAGAGAGAGAGAGAGAGAGAGAGAGAGAGAGAGAGAGAGATCACCTCCCTGCGGCGCTGTGACTGCTGCACGGCGGTTTCATCTTTTATTTCTGTATTATATCTGAACACTTGGAGCTGTTCTTGAATCAGTTCATTCGACATATTTGTGTTTTTTTTTAGTAAATTACCCTCTTAAAAAAAAAAAACATCAGAGGGAATCTACACGTTCATTTTTATAAACACGGTGGGTCTACAGACGTAAAGTCAAAGAAGATGACTTGATAAAACAAAGTGACTGAGTTTCTCATGTTCATGTTTGTGGTTTTGACTGTTTCATGAAGCCGGAGTGAAAACCTCAAAGCATGAGACCGCTTCACTTCCTGGACTGAGTGGATCATTTCGGACGACTTGTACAGCCTCAACTCTGGAGAACAAAAAAAAAGGTGCTCCTCATCCCTGAGAGGGACTCAGTGAAGACATGCACACAGACTGCAGTGTGAGCAGACTACCTGCAGGGGGCGGGTATTTTTACACATGGTTTCTTATTTCCTGTTTACATATGTGAAGATCCTGCAGAGGGTCCCTGAAGACGTTCTCTTTTTGTATGTTGTGTAGACAGAGTTGTGTATTGACTGTACACTAGTGGTGATTGTTTTTGTTTTTTCTTTCGTTGAGTCGAGCTTAACACATGTGCATGCCAAAGATGATTCAAGCTGATATAGTTAGTCGAGAATTCCCTTCTTTTGTTCACCCTGTCATCTGACTGTCTCAACATGAGAACCACTTCATTTTGAAAGGTGCATTCTGGGTAAATGTACTGCAGTGCAGCAGCTTACAAGAGTTTTTCATAACCTGATGATGTTCAGAATCTTTTATTAATCACTTTAAAATCTCAAATGTCGATCACAGTTTTCCAAAACCCCGTAAGACTTCTGGAAATGTTCAACACCTTCAGATTTAGGATTCTGTAACGCGAAGGGAAGAAAGCAGCAGAATGTTGACAATATTCAGCAGGGGCGTGTCTGGAGGGGTGTCCAGAGGGTTCTGAAGGACTTACTCAGCTTAGCGGGTATCAGCTGATGACCCTCCCAGCTCCACCCACATGTCAACTCCAAACACCTGGACAGAGCCCAACAAGACGAAGACAAAGCCCTGTTTCCACCAAGCGGTCCGGTCTGGTTCAGTAAACCCTGATCCTGCTTGTGTTTCCATAACTGACCATACCCTTACACGTCACTCTGAGGCAGCTTTGAAATGTCTCTCTCCAAATCTACAGGATATTTGACGGTGCGTTTTGTGTTTGTCCTTTATTACCACTGTTGCACAGGAAGTGAAGATTCTTTCGACCAATCAGCAGACTGCAGTGTGTCTAGCTCCGCCCTTTATGGTCAGATCGGTACGTTTGGCACCCCGGCAGAAGGGTACCAAAAAAGTAGGACGGTACGGATCGGATATTTTGGTATCATTCCAACTTCTGACAGTTGAAACGGTAATAAATGTGTACTGAACCGGACTGAACCGGACCGAACCGGACTTAACTGGACTGGACTGAACAGGATTGAACTGGACCGAACTGGACTGAACCGCTTGGTGGGAACAGGGCTTGGGCATGCAGACAGGCGGGATGGAAGCAAGAGTAAGGAGTCGTCATGCCATCAAAGTTATGAATACATAAACATTTATTTGCTTCATCTTCTTAAGACATTTCCAAAGTGTGTTTCAAGTCTTGTTTTTCCAACTGAATCTCACACAACATGTGAAATAAAACTCGTTAAGCTACAATCCTTTTCAAAGAGACACCGGTCAGCTGGTAACAAACGATGATCACCACTCTGCAAACAGCAATAACTGGACATGTTGACAATCAGATGTAGACAGCTTCTTTTTTCTCATGTATTTATTCTTTTTTCTATTTCTGACCCATTTGCTGTAATTGTATCGTGCTTGTTTGTCTTTTTTCAGCTTTGATCCAAGTTATAGGTTTTATTGTAGATGTGTCGATTGCTGCTTGTTCGGTCTTTTTGTTTTCAAACTAAATAAAGTTGTCATAGCTCAGGGGAGTGGCCTCATGTCCTGATACACCACCGCTCATATATATAAACCAATGATATGTTGTTTTCTTAAGAGAAGCAGCCTGAAACACTCCTGGTAGTTAAAGAAGTCATGAAACAATCCTCCTTAATAGATCAATTGGAGATATAGAATAGCGCATCATCTGCATATCAGTGATTACATTATGTTTCACTGACAACGTTTCCCCGAAAAAGTTGTATTAAGACAAAAAAGGGCCCAGAGAGTTTCCAATAGAGAGACTCCAATATTAATTTAAAGGGGATATATTATGAAAAATCTACTTGTACAGTGTTTTTGAACATATATTTGGTTAACCTGAGTGTCTACCGACCCACAAAATGTTAAATAAACCCATCCAGCCCTTTGTTTGTGGTCTGCATAAGTCTTATAACACAGAGAAAAATGCTCTATTTCAAATTTGCTTTCCTTGTGATGTCACAGTGGGATTCTGGTAAAAAAAAAAAAAAAAACACCCTCCCCTCCTCTGGTATCTCCACCCATGGACACCACCCAAAGACTAGAACAAAACTTTAGTGCAGGTCTGCCATTTTTATTCAAATATTTATCCAAATATATTTTAAATTGATACTAATTTAAAGGTAAACAAGATATTACAGTCACAATACCTGTGTAGAAGAAACAGTCAAACATTAATGTGTAGAAAAACAAAGTCAATTATATAGAGGGTTATACAAACGCTTTCACACCTGAAACTCCTGAAAAACTCAAACAGCTGAATGTTTCTCTCTTCACCCGGAGTTTCTCCTCCAGCCTCCTCGTATTTATTCTGCAGAAAGTCAGAGTGAGCTGATGTGAGAACGCAGCAGGATATAATCAGGAGAATTCACCTGGAGCGAGTGGGAGGGGGTGGTGACGTTTATTCCCTGTGATCGCTGCACAACCATAGACTGTCTGCACGCCACCTCTACCATCTCCATGCTCTAATGAACCTGCTGCATTATGTTTCCTGTTCTCCAGTATGTTCTTCTCCACTCTTTAGTTCACATTGAGATTCTGTTCAACTACACGTCGCATTGATAGACTGAAAGAAACATATTCTCATTATAGAGTCGTATAGAGCAGTGGTTCTCAACTGGTGAGTGGAAACAAAACTTCTGTGAAACACTTTTTAAACATGTTGGTTTTCTTCAGTTTCTTGCTTATGCCACATGATTTGTACCAACTGAGGCCCAAACTGCACAATGTTTCAGTAACTAAATCCAATTGGTCGAAAAATATAAAAAATGTGGGAGTTGGTGGTGGGTCCTGACGCTAGGCGAGTTGAGAACCGCTGGTATAGAGGACTCTGTTGCTTCTGCGTCGTTCTTTTTACATCAGGCCTTGACCACCACTGATCGACTATTTTTCCTAGTCGTTACTGTGATTAGAAGGAAAACGAATAAATAACATTAATTTATTTGTAGTTTGATTTTTATCCCCTGGTTACATCCACAACCTTCCTGGTGTTTTGGTCTAAGTGAGAGACACGCCCCCAAAACACAAGATGATGATTCTTCAGAGATATTGAATGTCTTGGTCTCGGTTACTGTCATCTTGTTTACAACACTAAACTTCTGGAAGTGTTTCCAGTATTCCAGATTCTGTAACTCATCATTATCGTCGTTAATTTCATGAAATAAAAAACTCCAGAAGTCAAGCGGTAAAGGTTTATGACTGGTGCGCTTTATTAAGATGAACTGATAACTTAAGATATAGACAACATTGTACAATTTATCAATCTGTACAAAACATAAAACCATTCGTTTTGACCCCCCTCTCACATTTAACCCTTCAAATTCATTGAAATGACATAATTTCACTCTTACACGTTTACACTGGAATTACAGTCAGTTATAGAATTCAATATAGTAAAAAAAAAAAAAAAAAAAAAGAAGAAAGAAATCAAAACACGTCTTAAAAAAACACAGAACAATGGAGGTACACCAAACAGGATCAGAAATCATATTCTCAGAAGAAAAAGGAATCACTTTGTCCACAGATTGCCAGCTAGTGAGTCTAAGAGGCTCGGCTGGCGGCGCCGTCTGTTCCAAACAAAAACGCCATTGGCACTGCCAGCCTGGCCCGCACACTCCAGAGCTACCGATCTACCCTCTGCCTCTACACACACACACACACCAGGGTCAGGCATTGTATATGTCTGCTAACACCATCACACACTGACACAGCTATGACCTGGAGATTCTACTGAACACACACCCGGGAGCTTTAGCAAGAGGTTGTTAGCGAGGCATCTGTCAGCCTGACACAACGTTAGCATATTAAGCATCATGCGAGCTAGCCAAGCGTAACCCTCAGCAGATTTCATGGACAGTAATGACAATGTAAGCTACATAAGGCGATACGACGTGGAGGTGCAGTCGTACAGAAAGCCATGCATTGTGTTCAAGAGGCAGCTCGGTGTACGTAGGCGTAATGTGACAGGGGCGACACGGCCGCCTGCCTCTTTGAAGGACAGACACGGTTACGGGTTAGAGAGGGAGGCGGGGTGATGGTGAATGGGAGGCGTGTTCGCATGATGAAGGAGGCACTGTGACCAGGAGGAGTTAGCAGGAAATGGGTTTGAATCCCGGAAGTCTCTCCTTTATTTCCTGTCGATTTCACAGCTCATCGCGCTAAAGAAAGACTCACAGGACTCGAACCCGCGTCCTGCACAGCTGAACAGTTTGGTTCGCTAAAAGTGGCACCGTCTTAAAAAAAGGTGCATCCAGTCTGACAAAATGAGGTCCAGATTCTTGATGTGCAGTAAATCTAATCCTAGACAAGAGAGCATTTTTACTAGATCAACTATTCAGGTTTCAGTGCAAGAATTAGACTTTCTCACGTTCATGAAATCAAGCCGAGTGGGTGAAAGACGTTTCCTACTTTCTCTGTGCGTCCTAACTACGGCTCTGTGGTTGCATGCAAAGCTCCATTTGCTATTCGACATAGAGGTTTGAGATTATAACATTATTGAGTATCATAAGAAGAGACCTCATACTAGAGGGTTTTTTTAAATCCTTCCAAGGCGCATTAAGAAAACAAAAGCAATCAGCCATGTGCTAGTTTCTGCATAGTTGTTGTCAAATGTGTCAAAAAGGAAATCAAACTGTTCTTGGAGCAGCAAGCGATGTGTCTGCAGTCACACAATCCTTCTTAGTGGACAAATGACTCGCTCTGAACGACACTGAGGCTCAAACTAGGACGCTAAGAACATCCAACTAACCAGGAGTTCAGTTTAAAATGACACAACCCGAAGGCAAAGATAGTGTTCAACACAAGAGTCCAGGTGGACTTTCCCACCTGTTCAACATGCAGCACAGCAGAGAGCCTTCTATACAGACATGCAAAGCTGTCAGGCCCAAACGTCGCCCCCTGCTAGAGACACAGAGACGACGCTTTACGAGGCTGCGCCGCCGCATGCAAACTCGAGTCTGCTCGCTCGCGCCTTCCTGCCGCGCAGACTGAAGCTCTGCAGGTGCAACAAGTTTTCTACGTTTCATTAGCGTCGTATTCACAGCAATCAGATCAACACGGCGTGACACTACCGGAGCGCCAGGTGCTCCGTACATCCACGTGGTTTCCAAAACAGTACATTGCACTAAAGAGGAGGGGGGCGGGGCTAATATGACAGCTTGGATATAGGACTTCAGAGCAACTTTGATGTGCTTTAATTCATATATACCTAGTCGTAGATATATGACAGGAGACAGAGAGAGATCGTAGAAAAGGTGGAGAAATCAACAGGAGCACAAAGATGAAGAAAGAGAAGAAAACTAATCACATTCATATATTAAGACATTTTTGTGACATGTCAGCGCATCTACAGTAATGAAATCTAAAGTGATATGAAATGCCTGCTGCCTGCTGTCCTGCAGAAGCCTGACGACAGAGGGGCTCTGCTGGGGGGGCCACCCCACGCAGTGACTTCTTAAACTGGGATATATTTACCTGGGCGGGGCGGGGGGGGGAAGCAGGGGTTGGGGTAGGGGTGGGGGCAGTACAGTTAAGTGCAGAGTTCGGGTCACAGCCTGGAAGCTGTGGCTCCTCCTCCACACCACACAGTACACGAGGCAGTCTCTTCTCTGGGGGGCGGGACTTCAGGAGCTGTGAGCGGGGTCAGGGGAGGGAGGGGAGCGAGGACGTGGGTAGGGGTGGGGGGGGGTGGGGAGTAAAGGGGGGAGGAGGGAGCAGCAGATCCGCGGCTGGGCTAGATGTTCTGACAGCACTGCATCTTTGGTTTGTTCTCAGTGGGCTGCACCTGGATGTTGACCACGTTGTTGCTAGGCGACATGTCGCTCTCTTGACGCTCCGACATCTGCTTCTGGGAGACGATACGGTAGATCTCTGTGGGGAGGAAAAACAGCGTCATTCATAAACTTGTCCTCGACTTATTGGCACTAGTTCTGTCACGCTTCTATCACACAATAATGCAAAGTAGGACTGGGACGAGAACATTACACCGTTGTAGAATCAGATGAATGGACAAAGACGTGATGACGGCAGAGACTCGTTACAGTTTTTGAATACCAAACATTGCAACTAAACTCCTGCACACTGTCTTATTGTAAGAATACACCTCCCTTTTCTGGCCGCAGCTTCTGATTGCTGAAGATTTGAAGTCGTTTCTACAGTTTTGGATCCATAGAATAAAGAAGAAAGTAACTTTAAGACGACCTGCTGTCCTCACAGAGGCCTGACCAATCAGAGTGACTCCTGTTGACGATGATTTTATCTCTGTGCCCACCAGCTGACTGACAGGAAGCAGATGAACACACTGTGCCTGTTAATCTAATCTGTGAATTCACAGACTGGCACACCAATAGTACGCCGTTGTGGAATCTGTAGGCGGAGCTTTGTCACACCGCTGTTGCGCTGCTGCAGTATGAAAAGGGCGAGTATGAGCTCTCTCTCTCTCTCCCTCTCTCTCAGTCAGAAGATGTTTGAAAGTTTTTAAAAGAATAAGTAAAAATCAAAACTCTAGAGAACACGTTGGTATGCTGCTCTGTCTGACAGAGGATCTTTGATTTATTCTGATTATGTTGAAAACCTCTAAAACACCAGAAGGCGCCGTGCAGGGCAGGAAGTACTAAAAATCAGCACACTCTGCACCCTGACTCCTCATGTATGTGACTTTAAATGGATCCTGTGCTTCTTTCTGTTCCAACCAGTTGAAGTGAATGAAGACATCGTGTTAAAGTTAATGATCTCCGTCTGTTGTCACGCTGTTACATGTCACGCTGTTAGTCATGACACTCGTGATCACAGCGTGGGCCACTCCTCAAAAATGAACCGTTAAACACTAGGTAAGAAAGTACAGCTGTGTGTGTGTGTGTGTGTGTGTGTCCATCAGGAAACAGCAGCTGAGTGACCCCTGACCTCCGTCTGTGTGTTAGCAGCCTCAGAGATGATTTAACTGCTCAGAGCTGATGTCTCTCTACGATGTGTTCCTGTATAAACAAAGAAAAGTGCCGACCTGTCAGAATGGTCTGGAAGGCCGTCTCGACGTTGGTGGAGTCCAGAGCCGATGTCTCCAGGAAAGATAAACCGTTTTTCTCTGCAGGGGAAAGTTGAGCAACAGAACACGTTAACAGTAAACCAAATATGTGACATTCCTCAGATAAGAGACCGGTCTACTGAGAAATGCATCTGACTCACTCGTCTGTTTCTGGTTTAATTAAGTTAAACAATAAAAACAGAATATAAAGCGTCTAACCAGCAAAAGCCCGAGCCTCGTCAGTGGGAACAGCTCGGAGGTGACGCAGGTCGCTCTTGTTTCCCACCAGCATGATGACGATGTTGCTGTCGGCGTGATCTCTCAGCTCCTTCAGCCAGCGCTCCACGTTCTCGTAGGTTAGATGTTTAGCGATGTCGTAGACGAGGAGAGCCCCAACCGCCCCGCGGTAATATCTGCAGACACAGACACAGGAGAGACTCAGGAACAGGAGAGACTTGGCAATATTTAACTCGGACCCATAGTGGTTAAAATGGGTACTGCAGTCCAAATTCTAAACATTGTAGAGAGCTGTCTCCCCCCCGCCCCCTCCTCTCTAGAGTTGATGCTCACTCAGGTCACCATGTGGTGGACACTGAAGCTTCAGTGTTTATCCAGCTCTGCATCGGTCTGTAAACCTTTCTGTGCTCTAACCTCTCTCCATTTTTCAAAAGCATCTCCAATATTGATCCTAGTTTGAGCACGTTTCTGCTCGTGGAGCTTATTAGAAACATGCAGAGGCTTTTTAGGTCGGGTACAATCACTTCTACCTGAACCACTTCTCTTGCCCGCTTCCATCGCTGCAACACCTGTTGACCTGATAACTGCTCTCATATCTGACAAACCGAGGGGCGTCCAAAACGGCCATGTGGGGGGTACCTTAAAACCACCTGCCTTCTCTGGTCCAAACAAATCCAGAGCATTCAGGACCAGAATCTAAAGTTAGAAGGAGGACATACTGGCTGCTGCATTGTTGTCAGAGAAGCACTTCAACATATCATGTTTCCTTAATGTCTGATCAGATAGTAAGGTCACTTTATCATTTCACTCACTACATATCTCACTGACTGGACCTTTAAGACATGCATTTTTTGGTAGTGTAGGAGCATAATCAAACAAAAAAGAAAGAGAAGACACAAATATAAACAGATATCATGTCCCTCTGCATGTTTTTGGTCCTCCTGCTGATTCCCAGCACAGTAATTATGTTGAAATGCTCTAACAGGAACTCTTTACAGTACTGACATGGAGTGGTAGAGTCTGTATAACCTTGTCCTCTGTACTCACGCTGATGTGATGGCACGGTAGCGCTCCTGACCAGCCGTATCCCAGATCTGAGCCTTCACCGTCTTCCCGTCCACCTGGATGCTGCGCGTGGCGAACTCCACTCCGATGGTGCTCTTACTCTCAAGGTTGAACTCGTTCCGGGTGAAACGAGACAACAGGTTACTCTTCCCCACCCCCGAGTCTCCGATAAGGACCACTGACACACGGAATGGAGAAAACACGTTTCAGCCAAACTTAGAAGGACTACTAAATGTTACATTTATTTAATTAAAGTTGACCTATAATCTAAGATCTCCCCTTCATGGTAAATATGCTGCTTATGAAATGCACAACATATTTAAATATTTGATATTCAAATTGATTAAAGTTATATTCCACTGACCCAATGATTGTTTGATTTAAGGCAGAAAAAAGACTGAGGAATAATGATTCAGCCCTGTATGTGTCAGTTCAACAGTTCAACTAATAATTACATTCTTTATTAATCCCTGAGGGGGAATTCTGGTTCTGGAGACGTGCTTCTCACACACAAGGGCTCAAATACACACACATGAACAAACAGGACCTGAGTTAGTAGAGGAGTGAGGCTGCTACTCAGGGAGCACGCCAGAGCGGTTGGGGGTTCCCTGCCTTCATCAAGGTCAGCTCGGCAGTACTCTGTTTTTTTGTCAGACTGTAAATAGCCAAAATGTCTCCAAATTCCTGACGTTAAGTGGCCGTTCTTGTTGTCTTATCAACGATGTTTTCTCGTGCTTTGAGCTGGTACACCCAGCGTTTTCTTCGGTGTCGCTATTTCGGTTGTGTTTCCATTCCGAGCCAAACGTCTGTAAGCGCACCCCTATCCCTGCGACATGATTGGCTGCTCTTTGTCATTTTTCTCACCCCCTTTCCCCTGTGTTTGTTATTATGTTTAAATCTATAATTTTTAATATTTATATTGAAGAAAATTATATCACGATAATTATCGTTATCCTTTTATCGCACAGGCCTTAGTGTAAGAATTGTACTTTTGATCATTTAGAAGGAGCTGTCCCCCCCTTATCTAAACGTTGCCATGGAGACGAGACTGAGCGAGTTGAGAATGTTTAGTGCCCGGAGATCTTTCTTGATCAGTGACGTGGATCTGTGCTGTCAGTCTGATATCTGATAAGTAAATTATATCGATCGTGTCCAATATCGAATATAATTTACTTATCAGATATTGCCAGAAACTAAACAAGAACCTCTATCGAATAGTACCTTCATAGATAGATAGATAGATAGATAAGACACTTTATTGATCCCGAGGGAAAGTCAAAGCATCCAGTAGCAGGCTACAAAGACATACATGAAACATTTGTTACAAATTAACCACAAAACCGACGCCCCCCTCACATACATACATACATATTAACCCGAAACTAAGATTTAAAGAATACCTCTAGATGAATCAAACTTAAACTGTGCAATTTAAAACAGAATTAAACAAGAAATGTACATAACCCGTGCAGGATAAAAATATATGTGACATTTAAAAAATAATCTATAAAACAATCTGTAATAAGACCTGAATATAAAAAAATAAAAAAAAGTGTTGACCTTCTGAAGTTGTGTTGTTTATATATATATATATATATAGCAATGTTTAAAAAAAGTAGATATAATAAATCCAGCTAAATAATCGTGAAAAAGAATTTCCCCTCGCGGGATCAATAAAGTATATATTATTATTATTATTATTATTAATATTATTTTAATCCAACAGCCCTAGCTTTTAAGCAGCATATAAATTACTAATAGATAATAATAAAGTTTTTCCACAATAAAAACGTTTTATTTATTATTAATAATAATAATAATAATAATAATAATAATGTTCAGCTTCAGAAACCAGTTTGTTTACTTGATTTTAATTAAACGTTGTTTTGCTGCAGACTTTAAACACATTATAAATAATAATAATCATCATAATAACAATAAGTGCAGATAGTACACGTCTTGTTTAACTGTGTACTCTTTGATTTAATGTGTTTTAACTCTGTTTCTGTGCCTGAGTGTCTCATGGACGTGATAACGGTTAACGTTTAGGTGTGTCCGCGCCCACTGAGCTAACAGCTAACAGCTAACAGCTAACGTTAGCCGTCCATCAAGCCGCCTGAAAACCAGAATAACGAGACGAATCAACGATTAAAATCACACCCAGTGTTCACACAGAGGCCCCCCAAGTCGTGAAAACGAATTAAACTCGATGACATCTCAAAGGAAGCTCGCTGAAGAGCCATCAGAGCACAAAGGTTGACGGTTGCTAAGTTAGCATAGCCTGACAGTTAATCAGCTGGCCTGTTAGCCTGAATGCTAACGGGAATGCTAACAGGAAGAAACCGTTTAGTTTACCTTTGAACAAATAATCATATTCGTCGTCCCTGGTGCCCATCGTCCTGATGAGAATGAGTTAGTCCGAGATTGAAAATAAATTAGGAGGAAATGAAGGCGGTCTATTATATTTTACTCTTCCAACGGGAATCTGTTTGGAAGCCGTACTTCCGCAATTTCTTCTTCTTCTTCGTCTCTAGCAACCAGTCAGCGTCACTCTGAGACATTTTCCGACATCTAGCGGTCAGAGAGGGAACTGCCAAAACGCTGTATCCTGGGATGTACAGACATTTGACAGGCTGTAGGGTGGGGGGCATCAAGTGGTTGATGGATGGAGGTCACGCGTCTTCATGACAACATTCAAAAAGATACAAATAATACAACCTCACCCATTTTATGACTTCTTTTACTTCACAAAACTCTGGGGACCCCCAGGCATTCAAAACACATACAGCTTATTACAGCTAACACTATATATTTTTTCAATCGTGATCGTTTTTTTTATCAAGTGTGTTGCAAGGAAACATTAATTTTACACCACATCAAGGCTTTTTTATGTGTATTATTATTATTATTATTATTATTATTATTATTATTATTAATACTTTATTGCAGGCTGTTTTACTTCATTACAAGTTGTCATATTGAGCTAACATAATGAATGCTGGACGCATGGATCAGAGACAGACAGGGATACTGTTAGATTCTTTGATTTTAGCATGTAGGACTTCTTAACACGATAGCATCTTGTAGGTCAACTCAGGAAGAATGCTACAATATATTCTTTTATTGATCAATAATTATAAATTTCAGGGGAGCCCATTTGAATTCCATGAACCCCTATTGGGTCTGGACCCCAAAGTTGACCCCTAAAGCCGGATTTATACTGAGATGTCCCTATCAAACCCATCACTGTTGGTAAATTTAGAAAGATGGATTTATAAAGTTCCTATTTATCTATCTAAATGGTAAATTGACTTCATACAGCACTTTTCTAGTCTTCTGACTACTCAAAGTCCTCTTACATCACAGGTCACACCTACACATTCACACACTGATGGTAGAGGCTGTTTTGTAAAGTGACCATCAGAAGAAACTAATCAGCAACTTAATAGTCTTGCCCAAGGACACATCAGACATGAGGCTGCAGGAGCTGGGGATCGAATCCCCAACCTTACGGTGGAGACCGACTCTCCACTGACTGAGCCACAGCCGCTACCTTCACTCATGATTCCATGTGTTCAACTCTCCGATGGTGCTCTTACTCTGCAGGGTAACTGCATCTGTTAAGGAGGGAGCATGCGTGTAGATGATACTCAATCAAACTTTATTCATAAAGCACCTTTCAGACAAATTCAAATGCAGTGCAAAGTGTTCAGACAAGACATAAAAGCACAGACAAATTAATACACATGATTACATACAAGAAACATTTAAAATGGCAGTGCTTAATAAACTAAAAACTAATTTTGAAATCAATACAAAGACTAAACAGGATACCAGTGTAAAGATAGTTTCATCAGCATAGAAGTGTAGAACTGTATTTATGGCTTTGATGTCCTTAACCAGGTCGTTAAAAAAAATACAGAACAAAATAGGTCCCAAAACGGAGCCCTGGGGGACGCCTTTAGTGATCTTAAAAGAACCAGATTTGTATCCTTTTGCATTTACACTTTGAGTTTTTAACCTTATATTTTACTTTTTATACTACAGTAGTTTAAAATCCAATAAGTGTTGATGGTAAAGCAACAACTATTCAACTTTATCAGTAAATAAAACTTCATAAAAAAAATCATAACTATCTAATCAAAACCGTTTAAACAGTAACTAGTATCATATAAAAACAGAGACCGTTTTATTTTTACTCATCAGTTGAGAGAGATGGGGCCAAATTAACCCAACAACGTGACCCTAGGCAACCCCTCCGAAAATCTGCAGACCACCAGTCCCTCCAACACTATGGCCCCCACTACCACAGAATCAGAGAAGGGGTATGACGGCTTGTGGTGGCACTGTGTGAAAAGCTGCTGTGGCAACAGAGGAGAGGCTAAAGAAAGAGTGAGATCTATCTTGATGCACTTACTGCCCTGGGCCCTCTACAGATCTCAGGCACCTGGGCCCAGTTGCCCTAGTGGCTATTCCGGCCTTAGGGCAAGTTAGTGATACAGAGAAAATATAGATCTTCATGGTGATGAGGAGGTGACCATAACACGAGGAGAAACCTTTTAGAAATAGGTAACAGAAATTCCTTAGAAAAAAAAGTGAGAGACCCTTCTCAGAGGACGACCTCCTCAGAGGGAGGTGACAGAGGCAAAGATAATGAGGAGGAATTTGAAAGGAATAAAGAAGTCGCCATGAAGGAGAGAGAGTCGGTTCAAAAAGAGCTGAGAGGAATCTCAGATAAAGAGCTCATCATCAAAAGGAGGAAGGCTTTGGGTGGGACGAGGTCTCACGAGGAGGACTCAGTGAAAGAGAAGATGAAGACGGAGGAGGAGGAGGAGGTTTGAGTTCAGTCCACTCCATAGAGATCTTCATCCTCTATGTTTATATGCAGTCGATGGTTTGCAAAGAGGAGAGAAGAAGAAAGTTGAAATACAGGAAAGACGGACAGAGCTAATGACTGGATTCAAGAGGTCAAACTCTGAGCTTTGAACTGCAGGAAGTCTGAGCGATGTTTAAAACAAATGTTGAAAAAAAAACTGAAAAGAGTGTCGTGACATCTAGTGGTGAAGTCCCAGATTGCAACCAAATGTGAAACGCTTCCCTTAACATCCCCTTCCATGCCATACGGAGAATCTATCTTAAATATTTGAAAGCCAAACACAAAAAAAGAAACAAAACAAAGAGAGAATTGAGCTCTAGAGACCCAAACTGTTTTTGTACCAGGCTGTAAACATGTTTATTTCTGCTGTAAAGTTAGACATTTTAACATGGGGCTCTATGGGGACTGACTCACTGCAGGAGACAGACTCTAGTGGACACTGGAGGAACTGCAGCTGTAAAGTTGTACATTTAAACATGGAGCTCTATGGGGATTGACTCACAGTAGTAGACAACCCAAGTGGACTCTTTGGGTACTGCAGTTCTGTTTTTCCTTCTAAACCTCAAGCAAATGATGATCTCCTTTTTTTTGTTTTTGGACACAAGTAAATGAAAGCAAATGTATTTAATTCATGTGAATTTTAAAATGTTTTTGTTGAAAATAAAAACCAATCATTCTATTTCACCTTTCCACATTTCATTTCATCCCTCTTTGACTTTTGTTTATTTCTTCATGTAGTCAGGGAGGAATTTCTTCCAATTCACATTCTGCAAAGAGAAAAAAAAGAAAGTCGTTAAATTAGATTATTTTTTTCTCTCCATAACTGAATCTAATCTTCCTGTGTGACGTACGTTTTTCCCCAAGGTGGATTTGGACTTCTTGGTCTTCATGTCTTCCAGAGACTCGTACATGTTACCCTGAACATTGGCAGCAGCCTCCCCAGGGATCAGCTCGTACATGTTTTCAGGCTGTGATGGACTTCCTCCTGGACCCTCAGAGTGATGGTACAGCGGGTTGTTCCTGGACATCTCCTCATGGTCACCTGGCCGCTCTGACTGGGAGCAGCTTGGCCGCTCTCTGGGCTCGTGGAGGGAGTAGGTGTGGCAGGTGGTCTTCTTCAGAGGAGCGGGTGATGAAGAGGAGGAGGATATGAGCTGGTTTGAGTACTCCACCTCCTCCATATTCAGTCGTGGCAGAGATCTGCTTCTGCTCTCCACATGACTCAGCTCAGAGTATGTGATCCCAGGTGGACACAGATCACCTGGATAGCTGCTGTCTGCAGTATTTAATAAGTCCAGGTTTGTGTTTCCTCTGAGTCCCTCTGATCTGTCCAGGTCGACCTCGGTCTCACCTGGATGGGAAGTTGTGTTGGGCAGAGATCCACTCAGGGAGAAACCCAGAGGAAGGCCTCTTTTTGGCACTGGAGGAACGCCCTGAAATACATGAAACAAGAAAATACAGAAATGGAACTGTTATCACTGCAAAACCAGCGCTGACATCCAGAGATAAGGAGAGAAACAAGTGACAATCCTGAGAAAACGCGGGGAAACCTGGTGTCATTGACCTATGGTCATGGTATAGATAAGTCTAAGAAGGAACAGAAATGTATTCGTCATCAATGGAAAAACAAAGTTATTATACTGAGAAATACAAATGAATACGATCCTGAGAAAAAACAGAAATTTCCTCGTTAGCACGGAAAACAATTTTTGTTTCCTCAAGATAACAAGAAAGATAAATCAAGATGTCAGAAAATACACAAATGTACTCATTATCACCGGACAACCAGCTTTGTTATCCTGGGATAACATGCAAAAGTAAGTCAAGATCTTGAAAAAATATGCATATTTCCTCATTATCACGAGAAAACCAGCGTTGTTACCCCGAGATAAATAAATCAAAATCTCACTAAAATAAGAACATTTACTCGTTAACACGGGAAAAGAGATTTGTAATCCCAAGATTACAAGAACAAACACTTGAGAGTATAATGTATCAGTTTTTATTTGCGTTGTACCTGTGAGTGTGACGTTGAGTCCACAGACCAGGCACCGGTCAGTTTCCTGTTTTTAGATTTGGGAGGCAGTGTAGGAGGCTGAGCTGTCGAGGGATCATTCAGCGGCTCAGTCCGGTGGTTACTAACCGGGGGGCTGAGCCGAGCGTTCTTCTGATCCCACAGGGTCCGCAGAGCCTGGACGCTCAACCCAAACTTCTCTCTGGTGTCAAGTTTCACCACGTCATAAAGCTCAGCTGAGTTTACCTGGAAGACAACCATGGACAAGTGAGGCGTGAAGATGATGCAATGATGAGCCAATCAACAGCTGGTCCTCACCTCATGACAGCTGGAGGTCAGGTGTTCTCCAAACGGCTGGATGGGGTGGACTCTGTAATGCTCGATCAGCTCCTTGAGGCTGCCGTGAGTCTGACAGTCTCCTGAAACCACAAACTGACCGCCCTGATCCTGAGTGATGACAAAATGGCGGCACCTGTCGTGGCCCCTGTGGAGGAAAAAGGTGAGATAAATATGAAGAACAAAGTGAGCAGAGTTCAACACACCTGATCAGAGGCTCACCTGTAGGACAGGATGTATCCAATGGCTTTTTCACTGAGGCGAATGAGAAAGCAGCCCAGAGATTTATCTCTCAGAAGATCTTCTGTGTCCCTGAAAACGTGTGTGACAGAACCAATTACACGAATGCAAATTAGATTAAAGAATAACACGGACATGACACCTTGATCATTTCTCTCACGCACATTCAGATCCACTGATACATCCATTCCTATCAGACCCATGAGGTCATTGAGTGTCTCCAACACAGCCGTTTGATCTCCAATCAAGTTCATTTTCATCTTTTCATAACCTTTGGAGCCGTGGGTCTCAACTGGTTGAGCCTCAGGACCTAACACATACTCCTTTAAAAACTGCCACCCAAATTTCTGGTATTTTAATCTACACATAAATCTATATTAGGACACGATTAATCACAAAAGTTCAGTAGTTAATCGGGATTAATGTGTCTGACCACGCCCCCTCTCTGGAAGGGCTTGGGTGTCTCAGGCTTTCTCGCTCCATGTCCTATTGTTTACAGTGAGAAGGCAGACTCAGAAGGCAGAACAAACACCTAGCTGTGGGAGTTTCACCCACCTGGGCAAGGGGTTACTGCCCTTTGTGATGTCATGAAGGGAAAATTTCCAAATGGCCTGTTTGAGCACACATTTTCTGAAAAGTGGAGCAGGCAAAAGACGGAGAGGATGGACTTCTCTCATCATTGGGGGGTTTGTAGACAGACTAGAGACACATATTAGAGTTAGAGGAACACGGAGAAGTGCATATTTGCATAATATGTGACCTTTAAGCACTAATTAACAAATCGAGGCAGCAGTAGACCAGCAGCTCCCTTGTTTTTGGAGATAAATTACCGTTTTAAAAATGCAGTCTGGTGACTTTAAAGAAAGTAATATAAAAACAAATATTCTTCCTCTATAAAAAAAGAATGCCCATCTCTGTATAGGGATCCTTTCTGTAATGTTGTCACAAACTTAGAATAATAACCTGAGCCTGTCAGGGACAAAAACAACAACTTATAGTAGCCACACTTTGATCCATGTGGGAATATGTTGCAGACATTACAACCTGTCTGTTCTTTTTATAAACAGTACAGGAACTGTGGCCATGCAAATAAACCATAAACAAATATGGGAAAAGGTTGATTGCAGAGATGGCAACAGGATCTGCAGAAACATATTCTAATAACAGCAAATAAAGTTCCACAAACATTTAAACCCTCAAGACCAAAACATGAGCACCATGTGGACTCTGCTTCCCTTCAGTTTTCCAGCAGAGGTCCTGAAGTAAAACTCTTCTTCGGTGTTTCTTACTTTCTTGCAGCGAAGCCTTGAAACCAGTCCGGAAAGTTTCCGTTGTTGAGAATAAGCGGCGCCTGCGTCTCGGTGAACCACCTGAGAACCAGCTCCTTCAGACCTCCCTCTGAAGAAGTCTCCACGTGCAGGTCCATGCCGGTCATCTTCTCCATCCTCACACCTGTGGATCAGAGCGGCACACTCCCTGTGCTCAGGTGACGTCCGAATCTGAAAAGGAAGATGAAGTGCCTCATTTGACTGTTTCCGTTGGGCGGCTCTCTCATCTGAATAGTGGTATTGTTTCACTTTATCTCCCTCCCTCCGAGCCGCCTGTTTCATTTAACTATCAGTGTTCCTGGTCACGGATTGAACTTAACTTATGTCCTTATTATAGTTCGATAAACCAGTATTACCACCGCTCAGCTCTAATTGTGCTGATAACAATGTGGTACGGATAAACTCTTTATTCTTTATTCTCTTTATTATAAGCTCATTCCAACAAGGTGTTTTAAATCAAGGGTCAAGATGTGACCAATCAGAGCAGAACCAGAATCATGATGAACAGGCAGAAACCTGGATCAGAACCAGACTCATGTTGGACAGACAGAAACCTGGAGCAGAACCAGACTCATGTTGAACAGACAGAAACTTGGAGCAGAACCAGACTCATGTAGAACAGACAGAAACTTGGAGCAGGACCAGACTCATGTAGAACAGACAGAAACCTGGATCAGAACCAGACTCATGTTGAACAGACAGAAACTTGGAGCAGAACCAGACTCATGTAGAACAGACAGAAACTTGGAGCAGGACCAGACTCATGTAGAACAGACAGAAACCTGAAGCAGAACCAGACTCATGTAGAACAGGCAGAAACCTGGAGCAGAACCAGACTCATGTTGGACAGACAGAAACCTGGAACAGAACCAGACTCATGTTGAACAGACAGAAACTTGGAGCAGGACCAGACTCATGTAGAACAGACAGAAACCTGGAGCAGAACCAGACTCATGTAGAACAGGCAGAAACCTGGAGCAGAACCAGGCTCATGTTGAACAGGCAGAAACCTGGAGCAGAACCAGACTCATATTGAACAGACAGAAACTTGGAGCAGAACCAGACTCATGTAGAACAGACAGAAACTTGGAGCAGGACCAGACTCATGTAGAACAGACAGAAACCTGGAGCAGAACCAGACTCATGTTGAACAGGCAGAAACCTGGAGCAGAACCAGACTCATGTGGAACATACAGAAACCTGGAGCAGAACCAGACTCCTGAAGAACAGGCAGAAACCTGGAGCAGAACCAGACTCATGTGGAACAGACAGAAACCTGGATCAGAACCAGACTCATGTTGGACAGACAGAAACCTGGAGCAGAACCAGACTCATGTTGAACAGACAGAAACTTGGAGCAGGACCAGACTCATGTAGAACAGACAGAAACCTGGAGCAGAACCAGACTCATGTAGAACAGGCAGAAACCTGGAGCAGAACCAGAGTCATGTTGAACAGGCAGAAACCTGGAGCAGAACCAGACTCATGTTGGTCAGACAGAAACTTGGAACAGAACCAGACTCATGTTGAACAGGCAGAAACCTGGAGCAGAACCAGACTCATGTTGAACAGGCAGAAACCTGGAGCAGAACCAGACTCATGTAGAACAGATAGAAACCTGGAGCAGAACCAGACTCATGATGAACAGGCAGAAACCTGGATCAGAACCAGACTCATGTTGAACAGGCAGAAACCTGGAGCAGAACCAGACTCATGTGGAACAGACAGAAACCTTGAGCAGAACCAAACTCATGTGGAACAGACAGAAACCTGGATCAGAACCAGATTCATGTTGAACAGACAGAAACCTGGAGCAGAACCAGACTCATGTTGGACAGACAGAAACCTGAAGCAGAACCAGACTCATGTGGAACATACAGAAACCTGGATCAGAACCAGACTCATGTGGAACATACAGAAACCTGGATCAGAACCAGACTCATGTTGGACAGACAGAAACCTGGATCAGAACCAGACTCATGTTGAACAGACAGAAACCTGAAGCAGAACCAGACTCATGTTGAACATACAGAAACCTGGATCAGAACCAGACTCATGTGGAACATACAGAAACCTGGATCAGAACCAGACTCATGTTGAACATACAGAAACCTGGATCAGAACCAGACTGACAACAGCCATCTGATGAGTAAAGTATAAAGCGACTAGGTTAGCAAAGACAAGCTTAATGTGAGAGAAAAACTATATTTGCTAGCTAACCTTTGATTGGAAGACGATGTACAGGTGAAATAAATTACTATAAAATAACTACCATGTCTTCCTTGGATTGAAACATAGCCTAATCGTAGCTTTCAACATCAGAGGATTAAAACTAATTTAAAAGCACTGACTAAATGTTTAAATTATTCACATCACCCTATGAATGATTTCAAAATACTGCAGAGTTTTTTGTCAGACTTCAAAGTGTGACAACAGGTGTTTCATGCACGAGCTGAACAGATGGTCTAGCCAAGTGACAGGGCACGCGCACCGCAGTAGCAACAACATGACGCCAAAGCTCATTTAAATATTTGCAAATTCATCGTTTACAAACATTTGTGCGATGTTGTGCTCTATATTTGATACTTTTCAAAGCATCATCTGACTCGCTGCGTTTTGATTGTCAAATCGGCAACAAATTGATACGAAAAAATATTTTTTGGAACGGTTTTTACAAACTTTTTGTAAGTGTAAGAAGCAGTGTAAACACATTAATAATACGATTTTTATTATTCTCAAACAAGTTGCTTTGCTCGGCCCATTGTTTCTTATATATTAATGATAGAGTAAGCAAAAATGTTCAAAAGAGCCTCTTAACACCTCCCAGCAACGCCACTTAAATTAGTAGTTTTCCGCATGAGGTTTGGTGTGACGCTACCTTCGTGCATGTTCACGGACTGTGTTGAGAGTCTGCGTGAATTGAACACAACACGGAGACACGCAGAGGACTTAGGTGGACTCAGGAGGAGAACATGGTGTCCACGATCATGACCTGACGTGTGAATAACGGTGAGGTATTTCATGTTTAATGATGTTCATTTGCGCATCATTTTTGTCAAGTGAGACTTTTACAGTTGGACTTTAATTCAGAGTGTGTCCTGCATGCCGAGCCGTCTGTGGAGAAGTGTCGCCCCTTAACTCATAATGCAGGTTTACTTGGGGTTGTCACGTGCATTAAATTGTTGAAACAGGATGACGTTTTTCTCCTGATTTTTGCAGAGGGATGAAAATACTGCAGACGTTTCCTCCTCTAGGCTGAAGATATGGACTCATTCAAACAACAGAGAGTGGAGGACTTCTATGAAATTGGTGAAGAGCTGGGAAGGTACAAACAAACATGCATGGAGAGTCTCTGATTGGATGAATGCAGACACTTTATGGTATTGGTACTGATTGGTTTATCAGTATTGTGTATGCCATGAATTAAGTATCAGATTCTTTGAATTGATTTTAAAGACTTAATTAATCCAAGATGATTAAAACAAACATTCAAAACATCATAAAACAGTCTGAGGACACTAGAGAAGGTGTTTATCAAACAAGAAAGCATCTGAACAACTACTAAAAACTACTTTAGAAGAAGATTTACTCTATTAATCCGGTGAAGAAAAAAGAGGTAACATTTTTACCTCAGTTAATGAGGCATGCTACACACACAGAGGTTGAAATACACACACATGCACAAACAGGATCCTATGGACATGCACTAATGGAGAGATGCCAGGACTGCTGGTCACAGCAAGGTTCTGGTTTGATGTCTTGCTCAAGGGGACCTCGGCAGTGCTCAGGAAGTGAACTGGTACCTCGAACTGTCGGCCCTCAAGTCCCTACAGACTGAGCTGCTGCCGCACAAGTCAAGTATTTATTATTTGAAACATTTATTATAACGTCAGCGAGAAGCTTGCAGGAAAACAGAGGCGTTGCAGAGGAGAGATGGGATCAGCTGAGCCAGCAGGGGAGCGTAGTGCTGTGTGTGTGTGTGTGTGTGTGTGTGTCTGTGTGTGTGTGTGTGTGTGTGTGTGTGTGTGTGTGTGTGTGTGTGTGTGTGTGGAGCTCCTGCTGTGTCGTGCTTCAAAACACAGAGACACAATGTGAATTCTCAGACTTGGAGAGCAATAACGCCGTTGCAGAATCAATATGAGCGTTCAAAAGCGGTCTGAAAAGGTCACTGTAGGATTCCCAAACAGAAGTTACATTGCTCAGGTTGCACAGACGAGTTTGTAGGCTGCTGCACGGAGCGGCTACTGCCATGCAAAAATAATTTGTAAATGAAACTGAATCATTAACTGCACGCTGAAAATGTTCCCTGCACCTGATACATCTGAAGAGTTTTTTAATTCACCTGCTTTAACAGGAGTCACAATGTGTCACAGAGCTTTCACACGTTTACTGCAGACTTCCCCTCAATGCTCCTGAAAAAACACAATAAATACACCAGCTTGTGTTTGTTGCCCTGTTGTGTTGCTGCGTGTTGTCAGGTGGCGACAACTGTTGTGCATGTCGAGACTCTTCTATCTTTAGCGGCAGCTAAATGTGCTCTGAGAGCGGCTGCAGACGAGGAAGTGGAGTGTTAGCTTACACACAAGAGGAGCAGAAAGAAACAGGAGCAGCTGCACGGACGTATCATAACCTTTGAATTTTAAATACATCACCAGGGCAGACTCAACAAGGATATGAAGTGTTTGTGTTGTTGTTGTGTTTCTATGAGTGCCGGGCTTCTCACTCTGCAGCAGAATGTGTGTAGCTCTATAAATAGACTGACGTGGAGGGAAAATTTGAGCTACAAATTAAATCACAGACCGACCGCGGTCCTGAAGCATCTGTTATGGTGGGTCAAGGTTTAGTCACAAAATAATGAAGAAAATATAACAAGACATGTTGCAGAAACGTCAGGCCTAAAAAATGAATGTTCTTTATTAACAAATAATGACCACAGTCAAGGCATTGTCGTGTTAGCGTTTCAAAATCTTTGATAAAGGACACCTTGTTTACAAACCCACCTTCATGTTTTTCATTAAAAGTCTGTTGTCCTTCACATTTAGGTGGTGACATATCCTCCTCCTCTTCAACCAGTTTAAATAAGTCTCAGAGCTCCTCAAAACATGTGTGTGAAGTTTCTTGTTCTAAATCCACTCTGATCCTGTATTTGATCATG